CAAAAATTATGTACTCAAAACTAAACTTAAGCCATTGTTTACTATACTCAAACCTCTGAGCTTAAAACAAAATTATTATGTATATAGAATAACTCAAATTATTTGAAATTAAACTGAAGCTATAAATTAAAACCAAACCTTTTTATAGTTATATCATAACCCAGACTCCACCCACGATAGTCTATAGATTTTTGATATGAATTCTATCATATTTTATACTATATAATTTATATAGTATTGTCATATTTTACTCTGTTATACAACATATAAATTGGAAGAGAGATAATCGAAAAATAGATAAATCCAATCTATACTATATGAATATTGTATATAAAATAATATTTCTCTATACTCACTTTATACACTTTTAAAATAAAATCAAATTAAAAAGTTTTACAATTCTATATATATTTCAAATTTTACAAATAATAAGTTAATAACTTACACGTTTGAGCATAATAACTTAATATTAATGTATTCCAATCAACAAGTTCGTTTAAACCGTTTTTTGGTAAGGTAATTTACTCTATTCCACTGATTATATTATTCCATAATATATAGTATAGATGCAGAATATAAAAATAGTATAGTATTATATTGCTTCAGCTCCATGATTGACAAATGACAAATGAGAGAGTTACCTCAGCATCTGACAGGCAGTCGCCCGCCCCTGCTTTACTTCATACAAGTCTGCAAATCTTTCTCTGATAACAGTCATCTCACCTGCGAAATCCAGAATAAATAAATTATAAAGTAACAGAATGTACCGTCTCAGTTAAAACCATGAAAACTAAACAAAAATAGCATAACATAGTTAGTATTTACAACAAAAAATTCATAAAATGATCTCTCACCTTTTTCAGATTTATGCCACAGTATCTGGCATTAGACTTAGACTTTTATCCATATCTAAGAGTATGTGCAATGCAAGTATCTTATTTAATATCTTAGTATTAAATTATGAAAAAAAAATTAAAAATTATGAAAAAAGAAGAAGAATCAGCTCTTAAGAAGCCATTCTTAACTTTTTCTAACACATATCATTTAATTACTTGTTCATTTTCTTTAAAAAATCATGAGAGAAAATAATAGTTTTTTAATTCTTTAGATATTCAAATTAAGAAATCTAGCATTGCACATAGTCTAAATTTGTTCGAGAGACCGAAGACAAATCACTAGAAGAAATATAATCTCTTTTAATTGATTTTCCTCTTGAAGAAATTCAATCTTTCTTTATTGATTCTCCTCCAGAAGAAACTACATCATAATAGTTCCCCAAATTTGCATTAAAAAGAAGTTTAAAAAAAAAATATTACAATAACATCTATGTAAACATTATTGTAAATATTCAAGTTTTTGACAAGAGTTAAAAACTATTAACAACACCTTTCACAACATTCATATGAAACTATCAAAACATTACATAATAATACAAAGTTTTACAGACTGAAACTAGTAAATACTCGGAAGAAAAGCTTTATAAAGAAACGAAGCACCGATTTTATTGTTTTGTTTCCACTGTTCTGTGATTTATGAGTTTTTAACCCACTGATCCTTCAAGCTTGATGCTCATAAGCTGATTAACTTCGGCTCCAAATTCATCAGGTAGCTTGTTGAAGACATCTCTGCAGAATCCAGAGATCATCGCAGCTAATGCCCTCTCGTGGTCGATTCCTCTCTGCTGGAAATAGAAAAGCTGATCCTCACCAATCTTTGAGGTACTCGCTTCATGCTCTACTCTCGCCGATGGATTCTTCACCTGTTATTGTTTAAGAGCCACACCACAAAACAAACCAAAAAGTTTACAACTTTGAAGACCTTAGAATCATCAGATTTCAACAAATGCTGTATTACATCATAAGATTGCGCATCAAAAGCAAGTTATACCTGGATGTAAGGATAGGTATTAGCAGCTGCTTTGTCACCGATAAGCATTGAGTCACAGGTCGAAGTGTTTTTCGCATTCTCAGCTTTTGACTGAACCTGAACAAGACCACGGTAACAGTTTCTTGAATGCCCTGCCGAAATTCCCTTAGAAATGATTCTGCTTTTTGTGTTCTTCCCTTTGTGAATCATCTTGGTCCCTGTATCAGCTTGCTGATAGTTATTAGTCAATGCAACAGAGTAAAACTCTCCCACCGAGTCATCACCTTCTAAAACCACGCTCGGGTACTTCCAAGTTATCGCAGAGCCAGTCTCAACCTGAGTCCACGAGATCTTGGAGCGATCCCCAGCGCAAAGACCACGCTTTGTGACGAAATTGTAGATCCCTCCTTTACCTTGTTCATCCCCTGCATACCAATTCTGCACCGTCGAGTACTTGATCTCAGCTCCTTTACCACAGTAGAGCTCAACCACAGCAGCGTGAAGCTGATTCGTGTCATAGGAAGGAGCAGTGCATCCTTCTAGATACTCAACAAAGCTCCCTTCCTCTGCAACAATCAGAGTCCTCTCGAACTGACCAGTCTCCATGGCGTTAATCCGGAAGTAAGTCGAGATCGGCATGGGGCATCTTGTGTTCTTCGGTATGTAACAGAAAGATCCATCGCTGAAGACAGCTGAGTTCAGAGAAGCGTAGTAGTTATCGTCACTAGGCACGACTCTTCCTAGATACTTCTTGATCAAATCAGGGTACTCCCTAATAGCTTCAGAGATGGAACAGAAGATGACACCTGACTTCTCAAGAGTCTTCCTATGAGTGGTTGCTATCGAAACGCTATCTAGAACCGCATCAACCGCGACGTTAGCCAAACGCTTCTGCTCTGTTAAAGGGACACCCAATTTATCGAAATACTCTAGAAGCTGAGGATCAGCTTCATCTAAACTGTTCAAAGTCGGTTTCTTTTTGGGAGCTGAGTAGTAACACATATCCTGGAAATTGATCGAAGGATACCTATTATCTGACCATTTAGGCTCTTCAAGCTTAAGGAACTTGACGTAAGCTTTGAACCTAAACTCGAGCATCCAATCTGGTTCCTCTTTCAGTTTCGAGATCAATCGGATCGTCTCTTCGGATAAACCTTTAGGGATCGTGAAGGAATCGATGTCCTCGACGAATCCGTACTTCTTATCGTAATCTAGATTCTGGAAATACTGCTGAAGTTTATCAGTGGAGCTAACGGTTGATGTAGCAGAGGAGTTACCTGATTCGGCTCCGATTGGGCGTGAATCGATCCCGACATCGGCTCTGACTTTGAAAAGCCTCGTCGTCGTCGGCGCGGTGGAGAGCGGATTTAGGGTTTTCGGAGACGGAAATTTCAAGGATTCGGGTTTAGGATGAAACCCTTTTGGTAGTTTTGAGGAATCAGGTGTGGGCTGTGGAGAAAATCCGGAAACACCGTTCGCGAGAAGAGACGCCATTGTTGTGGCTCTAAGGAGAAGTAGAAGAAGGAAGATTGTTTTTGGAGTCGTGTGTTTACAAAAAAAAAAACAGGATAGGAGAGAAAAAGAATAAAAAGTGAAATGTTCAATATTTATGGAATTTGTTTTTTTTTATATATTTAATGCGAAAATATAAATGTGTAATTTTCTTGGCCATAAATTGACGATAGTCTCGTGTCCACCACGGGACCTGTTTTTTTTCTTGGATTTTCAGCTCAATTATGAACCACACTCTTTTCCACTATGTAATTAGAATTAAAAGTAAAATAATGGCCAAGAATTAGAAAATTAAAACTCTTCTGTTTAATTCTAGCAAAATTAAAATACAAATATCTTCAGCTAATCAGAGGTACAAATTTCGAAGACAGCTTCATAAAAGGGCGAGAATAAGCAATATCATCAGGACATAGATTAGCTCCTAAAACATTAAAGTGTATATAAATGCTTCATACATATAGTTCCTTTTTTTTTTTTTTTTTGTCGAAATCATATTGACTTATCTTGATTTTAGAAAATCTGCATACAATAAGTTGTTTATGGGGCTTGAAGTATGAAGGTATGTGCTCCAATCAAATACATTGTTTGAAAACAGAGGCTAATACATGGGCAACCTCATTACACGTACGATTAACATGAGTCATATTAACATATTTAAATTTAGACAGCCAATGCTTAATATCAAACAAAAAATTATCGATGTTGATATCATTCTCGTTCGTCAGAATTGAATACATATAGTTCCTTTCATCTGTAAATTTTTTGTATGAAGTTAAGTGTATATATGCGGGCTAAACGGGCTTGTTTGAAAAAATTAGTCTGTTTAGGCCCGTTTATGTAATAAATTTTAACGAATTTAAACGGGTCGATCCTTTTAAGCCCATTAAACGGGCAGGCCGTTTAGCTTTAATATGTGTCCAAAACGACGCTGTTTTGATATCCGTTTTATTTTCCCATTATTCTCAGATACGATTCCTCTCCGTCGCTTACTCCTCCTCTCCGTCGCCGGACTTGGCTGCTCCCTTATTCTGCCGTCGATTGCTGCTTCAATTGAAATTTCTGACAAACTGGGTTACTGAAGTTTCAGGTAAATCTCGTTCCCCAATTATTTGTTTCCACAATGCTAAGAGGATCTGTGACTGTGATGCGAGCTTATATGCAATAGTTCTTCCTTGAATGTCTTCTTAACTCCGGCTTGTGGTGAGTAACTCTGGATTGAATAGTGCCTTCGAATGACTTTTCTTGGAATTTTTAAAAACACATTTTCTACTTCTGAGCTCTTTGGCAATCATGTTTGACTCTCAAGCTTTCGTTTTTGTTTGTTTCCTGGCGCATCCTCTAACCACAGTATAATGGATTTTAGCTAGAAATCAACTGATTCATATTAAATTTTTCTACTTAAATTTTTCTATAGAGAAGAACGAATCTTGTTTTGGTCGAAACACTCTGTACTATTTGCTGAGAATCTTGATTGATACTTTAGGAATTGAGTTTTTGGATCTTGTAGATTCTCACTGAAAGTTAACATCTTTACTTTGCGTTCATGTTAAAAGCCGTAGATGCGAGATTACTGTGAAGGTTAATACTTTGTTCATTGCTCTTGTCCTTAAGGTTTTGAGAAGATGGATATAATCTCACAGTTGCAAGAACAAGTGAATACGATTGCTGCAATCACTTTCAATGCTTTCGGGACACTCCAAAGGGACGCGCCTCCGGTCCAGCTTTCACCTAACTATCCCGAACCGCCGGCTACGACCACGGCTACTGATGATGCTACCGCTTTTCCTGAGCAACCAAAGCAGCTCAGTGCTGATTTGGTTAAGGCTGCTAAACAGGTTACTTTCTTTTTCGTATTACTGAAATTAGCATTAACCAGTAGATGAAGATAAGATGCACTTTGCTATGTATGCACCATAAAGCAATGTACAATTCAATATTTGGATCATCTTTACCTCGATAACTTTGTGCCAGAAAGTGAACTTTTGAAATTCTTTTTCTTTGAGACTTGTGGAGAATGTCTTGCTGCAAGAAATTGCGAAAGAAAGAGTGCAGAAACACTTAAATTTTGTAATGATCTGATTCATTCCTCATTTTGCCATTTTGAGTCTTGATGTGGTTTTTTTTTTTTTCCTGGTGAAGTTTGATGCTTTGGTTGCAGCACTTCCCTTATCAGAAGGAGGGGAAGAAGCTCAGCTGAAAAGAATTGCAGAACTCCAGGTAAATAAGTCACTAATAGTTTTTCGATAATCCTTGAATCTGGTATTTCTATTCATCTAATGGCTTTGCCTGTTTCCTTCTCTGCCGTTTTGCTTCAGGTGGAAAACGATCTTATAGGTCAAGAACTCCAAAAGCAATTAGAGGCTGCAGGTAATATTTCCTGGCCACCTTCGCTCTTTAATTATCCCACTTTAGCTTAGCAGATCCATTATGCAACCAACGACTTGAATGTGCAATGTGTTGATACTTTCTTGCTGCTATCATGCACGTTAGGGAGTTTTGTTTAGTAGTTCTAGTATTGAATTTTTGGCGTTATTCCAATTTCTTGCAAATAGTGCTTATGAGGTTGAACAGGTCTTGAGTGGTGTAACCTTGTTTGTTGACAGAGACGGAGCTAAAGCAAGTCCAAGAGCTATTTGGACATGCAGCAGACAATTGCTTGAACATGAAGAAACCCGAATGAAATGCTTAACAATGTGTGAAAGATTTGGTTCAGAAACAATTATGTTTTAGGTTCATAAGTAATATAAGTTCTGATTTGTTTTATCGATTACAAGAATGTTAGTTAGCTCACAACAACAAAACCATAATTTTAACATTAGACTTCTTTTGCCTGTCGATTACAGTCTCAAAGAATCCATGATTGGTCCTCCGTGTAAGCTGCACCGGTCAGGGTTGGTCCATGATCTCCTGTATTTGTCACATTCGATCCAAATTGCTGAAGAGAAATGGTCAGTCCATAAAAATGGGATCCAAAACCGTAAGTTTGACTTGGTTCAAACATTTGCAGAGATCAACGGTTTAGGAACCGAGCAGAGACTTTGGCAATCACCTCAAGGTTAATCCTGTGTGGCTACAAATTACTCAGTCACTTAGTCCTAACTCTTAACCCTTTTGCTCTCACCTGTCAAGACTTGTGCAGAGTCCAGCAACTTTTCTAGTCTGCAGGTTACAAGAAGCTTTAGGATGCAAAGGAAACTTTAGCCAGTCATGTAAGAATGAAATCTGAGATCTTCTGTACACAATCATTCTCCTTTTAGCCGGTCAATCTCAACCAGTCCTCCCTACTTTGTTGGGAAAACGACCATTTTCCTTTTCGATCTCTTCTTTTCTGGTGTTTGAGAATATACAATCTGGCTTTCTTGGATGATATGTTGTACATCTTTATCATCTTTTGGAATTTTTGATACCAATGCCTTGGCACCTTCCAAATCCCCTGCAGACAGTAGAACCTGATACATCCTGCAAATCCATAAACCATAACCAGTAAACACAAGATCTAATCAACTGCATATATGACTGTGGTATTCTAAAATTTCTATACAAATCTTCTACGGTTAGTTTTTTTTTAGTTTGTGAGCAAAGAGAAATCAAATGCGATTCTTTTTTTCTTCTCTTGGGTCAGCTCAAGTAGGAATCTAAACGTGCATATTTGCAAAAGGAGAGAAAGTGTGGCTTGCCTCAGAAAGCTTAGGACGTTGCAAGGAAGTCCTGCAGATTGGTACTCTTTCCACACTAATAAACCGTTCTCTATATCCTTGGCATTAGCACAAGCATGTAAGAGAAAATCCAGACATTTTCTTGAAGGAACAAACCCAAACTCTTCTTTCATAAAACTTAGCAAATCCATCCCTAGCTTCACTTCGGCTGGCTCCGTCTCTGCGATTGCCCAAAACACCTGATCCAAAACAGCAAATCACTGAGAGGCTTAAAGAAGACAACTCCAGTAAAAGAGAAGTAACATCTCTTCTTTGAATCCCGTGATGACCAAAGAACATGGAATGTGAACGTTGCACATACCCGGAGACATCTCGGGCGTTATCTTAGATGACTAAATGAACAACTTTTCAAGAAACCCAAAAGAGAAACAGAACCAAACCTCGTCGAAATGATATTCCACAGGAATGTCTTTCTTGTACAATCGGACCTTGTTCCGCCTCAGCAAATCAAGAATATTGCTATACAGCAAAAAGAGCAAATCAAGAATGTGACACTCGACAATGTGGTAAACAAAAAACTGAGTACAGAGCATGGGTGATTTACTGTACCTCGACTTTCTATTACGGACAGCAAACAAGATCATTCTGAAGAAACCATCTATCCAACTATTATCATCTCGCAGGTCATCAGCCAGTTGAACCAGCGTATTTAACTCTTCCTTCGAATCAGAATATTCCTACAGAGAAAATCATATCACTGATTATCAATCAGTCAAATATATGATATAGATTTTTTTTTTCTTTATAACAGTGTATACTTACTATGAGAGATATAATCGATTTTGGGTCTACTTGACATTGGGTTTTCTTCATTTCTTCATATATACTCAAGGCATCTGCCCTTTTTCCATGTGATGCAAGAGCCGAAATAAGTACACTTTTCAGCTCATTTTGGTTTCCAGCCGGAACATCTGGGTCCAAGAGCACCTAACGTAGAATAGAATCTTGAGCTCTTGCTCTAATTGCTATAAGAAATTCCGATTTCAAGATCTTACAAACAAATAAAGATCCGCATGCTTACCTGTTTTGCCTTCTCAAACTTTCCAGATGCTGCATATGCATCTATTAGGGACATGTAAACGCGCTTAGTAGCAACAACTTTTGCTTGCTTCATCTCCTCGAAGTACTTTCATAGGACAAAAACATATTTCTCCTTTCACAACACGACTCCAAGTTAAGATCTGTAGAGCAGAAAATTGTGATTTTTACCTTAGCAATAGTGTCTTCCCGTTTACAGTTGTTTATAAGATAGCCAAAAGTTATAGAATCAGGTTTAACGCCAGCTTCTTTCATTTGCTTGACGACCATTAACGCACTGCACACATTTTTCTTCGAAGACATACAGAAAACATTAAATGAAAACGATGTAAGAGACATTGGGAGCTCACGAAAACATGGACAATCCATCATGTTAGAATTTGCAAACATGAGATATAAGAGCTTAAGATATTACCTCCCGAAAATATCCAGCCAATATACAATTGAACATGCTAGCGTTTGGTTCCAAATTGAAGTTCTTTAAATTTCCAAGCATATTATATGCACCTTCAAACTGCACATAACCCCAAAAGATTTAGAGAAGAAAAAAAATTGTGTTTAGAAAAACAAACAAAGGAAGATATACTCAAGCTGAAATAAACAGAAAGGAGGTTACATCTTTGATTCTTGTGCACATACGTATCATGCTCCGGAAGTTCTCACTACTTGGTTTCACACTCTTTGTGCACATAATTGAATGGATTCTTCGCACCTGAAACGGTTTAAGTATGAGGACACTCCGAAACTCCATTTAAAATATGAGCAAATGCATGAGGAAGACGATTATGATGATCTCTCAGTAGCAATCAGTGTACAAAGTCAAGCAAAATGAGAATGCGTACCAAATTAAACTCAAGAACTTCATCAATGGCATGTAACAATGAATCTAGAATATCTGCGGATATTGTCAGACCTGCTTCACCCATTTTTTCAACTACATCAAGAGCAGTGACCACCTATGGCACGGAGGGAATAGCCATTAGTGAGAGCACCAAGAAAGTAAAGCAAAATAAAGATACAATAAGCATAACAAACACCTCATTCGAGTCACAGCTATACTTAACAAGCTTTTCGTACGATGTAGATGAAGGCATAACATCGAGTTCTTCATGCATCTTGTTGAACTTCAAGATGGTATCCTCAACCTTTAATTTTATAAAAAAATCAATTAGGAGGCACTTGTAATCTAAACAAAGAGTTTAAAACACTAATTTCCCTGTAATATTCACGAGAAATCCCTTTACCGTCGGATTTGGGGTGCAAGTAGAATAGATAGAGATGAGATCTGAAACATTCTTCACTCCTTCATCTGCGCATGTTAATGAAAAAAAAACATATTACAGATGATTTGATAGAGACATAAACATGCTATCGTACAAAGAGTTTATGTCAAAGGCACCCTTACCACTTTCTCTTAGTTCCAAGAGGAGCTTCCTCGCAACAGAATCCAATGAAAACTTCCCAAGGTACCCAAAAATGTTTTCCAACAGGTCCGATGAACGAACTTTTGTAACGTCTACAACCTCAAAGAACCTCTGAAGATGATCCTTTTGGTCTTTCTTACATAGTGCAAGCAAATAGTTTTCTGTTTTTGAAGGAACAAAAAGGTTCAGTTTTTTTTCCTCGAGTAAACAATACACAGAGTCCTCAAATTGAATAGTGATTACCTTGTAATAATGTTAAACCGTCTCCATCAACATCAAATGTACCACAAAGTTCATCAATCTTCTCTCCGTCTCCAAGTTGAATCCAAAGAAGCATCTCATAGTAACCAAGTCTCTCGACCATACAAGGACTCGCCTCGGTAACGACATCTTTGACACTATGAAACTCATCCACCATATCCATATCAATGAAGTAATCAAGAAGAGGACCGTAAACGCTTTCTTCAATAGCGAATCCGCGGTCTCTCATGGATTTCAAAACCTCAAAAGCCTTCTCGATGTTGCCAAGAGCATACTCTAGATCATTGCTTCTCTCCGCGCGCTCCAAGTAAACTCCGACCATTGCGTTGTACTCCGTAACACTCATCTCTCTCGACACCCTGTCGAAAGAACCGAACGTGGTCTCGGTGCCTAGTGTCTGAGCATAGTCTCTGAATCTCTTTTTGAAATGCCGCGACAGAGCGTCCTTCTTGTAAACGCGTCTCTCTTTCCTTTCACGAGACATCTCTTTCGATCTTTCCGAAATACAAATAGGGATCTTAGTGGTAAAACTCGGTATCTTCAATACGTTCTTCTCCGAAGAGCTTTTCTCGGTAGTGGCTACTGAAAATGTGATTCGAATCATGAATGAAATTGAGATCATTGATCCAAAACAGTACATTTGAGAGCTTATTGAAGAAGGAACACATACCATGTAGCAAGTTCGATACTTGATCCGGTAATGATGCTTTCTCGAGATCTACACACAAATTTCGCAAAAAAAAATCAATCGGATTCTAAATCAAATTTACAAAATTCTCCAATCGAGTGGGGGAAATTCAAGAGCGAAGGATTCAAATTGAAATGGGTCAAAAAAAAGGAGAAAGATTTATCAAGCTTAACCTTTTCCGGTACCGGACGGAGAAGAGTCATTGGACCTGAGGAGCTCTTGGACAGCTTGAGAAGTTCCGGCGATGTCTCTTTCCCTGGCGGCACCGGAAGCAGCAATTGAAGATTCGCCGGGCTTTTTAGCCCGGGAAAAGAAGAGAGAGCTTAAGCTTTTGTTAGCCTTTGAGACAACCATGCTCGTATTACAAGTGAGATTAAGAAGAAGAAGAAGAAGATGATGATGATGATGAGAATCTGGAAGATGTTATAAACCTCGACAAAACCCAGAAGTGCTTCTTCGTTTAGAAAGCTTAGGGGTATTAAGTTAATTAATTTTGTAAATCAGGGGCAATTAAGTAAATTAAAAATAGATAAATGGACCTTGGACATTCAAGAGAGTATGATTTCAACCAAATCGCTTCTCTACTGTCTTAAGCTTCGACGGTGGTTGTATCGTAGCCACGGCGGCTCCGGGATCGGTTCAGAAAGGAGAAGAGGAGTGGCGTGCGGTTCTTTCTCCTGAGCAGTTTCGGATTCTCCGGTAGAAAGGCACTGAGTAAGCCTTTCTTCCTTCTTATTCCGGAGATTTATATTCAAATGTTGGAAATTTCGCCCTAAGTTGAGGAAGTTTTGGAACTTTTAGTGCAATTTCCTTCTCCAGGGTTCGATTTCATAATCCGCATAGTTTGTGATTCTCGAATTTGCAATTGTTGAATGTTTCTTCTTCTGATTTCAAGTTCTACTCCATGATTGGTGTGGCTGAAACGAGTTTCATACATTAGTATATACAACGGATGCATACATATAAGATTATACTTGTTATGAGCAATGTTTGAAGATTAAATCAGTTATACAGGTGCTTGAAACATAGAACACAGAGAGGTTTTCTGCTATAGCTGTAGAAACAGTTAGGAACTACTCTCAAATTATTTTGAGTGATTAGAATAAGCCAGCTTCCATGAAATGTGTATAGTTCTTCAAATATACCACGTTAGTCGTTACTCTTGAAACTCTGAAAGTCTGAGTCTTTCAGAACTGTGTTGCTCTGTCTAGTTAATTTTCGCAGTTCCTACAAATTCTTACTATTTAGGTTCTGTCTTTGAGAATGGATTGTTCTCTATGACCATGAAAAATGTGGGTGTTTGATCTTTCTGGTATTTGAATATATCATATTGAACAAGAGAATCCGGATCTAACACCATTAGAAAGTTAAAAGTCCATCTCTTTTATCAATTTTGGTTGCGGAAATTTGATTGCTCTTGCGGGTTTGCGTTTTTTGTTGAAATCAGATTATCCAGGGACTGGAGAATACGTAGAGTTCAACGAAGAAGGAATCTACTTAGTGTCATAACCAGAACCGTAAGAGAAACATCTCTCTGTAAAAACTCTGATTAAAGTAATCTCTTTTGTTTTTGTTGCTGACATTCTCTGTTTCAGTCAGACGCAGATGGGAGAAGAACAGAGATCACTTGTGCAGTCATGTGGTGGACACCTTGGCCATGTTTTTCAAAGGAGAAGGGTTTCGGTAATCCAACAGATGAACGACATTGCGTGAACAGCGTCTCGCTTAAGTTCACACCCGCTTGAGCCTTTTATTGTTATTGACCTGTTTCTCTGAGTAAAAGACAGAATAATACTAACAGTCATGTAGGTGTGTTTATATGAAAACGGTTGTGGTGGGTTCTGTCTTGTACCAACACAATCATATACATCATCACTCTTTGGCATTTTTGACAACAACTTTATCGTTTGCAACTAAATAAACTTTGATCGGAATTGATTTTGATCTAGCCACCGATCTGAAACCGGATAGTTATTTGGATCCGAATGTGAAATCCTGATATCCGGTTTTGTCCTAATTCGATTGAGATTTTTTGCATTTTTATGTGAAGACGAATTTTGGGAAACCGAACCGGGACGGATTACGGGACAATAAGGCACGTGCATTAACTTAATAAGTCCTCCCCACCAGTCTATAGATCACACAACGGTTGCTATGAACGAATGTAGACGCAAAACAAGGAAAGATACATCACTTGCAAATTAGGTATAAATTTACACTACAACGGTTCAGAATGTCAGCATCAGACGCTTGCAACCGAGATTCCGGTTTACTTTTTTCCTCCGTCGCAAATATATCAGCTTCCGGTTAGCTTCCGTGGTGGTGATGGCGGAGGCTCCTGTATCGGTGGTTCGAAAAACAGAGGAGGTGTGGCGTGCGGTTCTTTCTCCTGAGCAGTTTAGGATTCTCCGTCAAAAAGGCACCGAGTAAGTTTTTATTCAACTTGTACTTGGCTTCAGAATGTTAATTACGACGCAAGCAAACCATAGAAAAGAAAAGAATCTTTAAGAGGTTAAACAGTTAGGGAAATTGGAAAAAGATTCCTCCTTTAGTTCTTCATTAGTTCTTCTAAAGAAGAAACCAATCTTCGTTGCAATAGAGAATAAAGAAACCAATGTTCTTGTGGCTTTTGTGTTTTGTCAAAAAAAAAAAAAAAAAAATCAGAAAGCCAAGAACCGGAGAATATGACAAGTTCTTCGAGGAAGGAATCTTCAGCTGCGTGGGATGCAAAACTCCTCTTTACAAATCCACAACAAAGTTCGACTCAGGATGTGGCTGGCCAGCTTTCTTCCAAGGACTCCCCGGGGCCATAAACCGAACTGTAAATATATATAAAATCAATCTCTTTGGTTTAATTTTCTTGAAAATATTGATTAGTAACTAAAACTCTCTTTATTTCTTTTGTTTGCTTGATGTGATTCTACGTTGTTATCAGCCTGATCCAGATGGGAGAAGAACGGAGATCACATGTGCGGCATGCGATGGACATTTAGGCCATGTTTTCAAAGGAGAAGGTTACGGTACTCCAACCGATGAACGCCACTGCGTTAACAGCGTTTCCATCAGTTTCCACTGAGGGTTTATCGTTAAATTATCAATCATATTGTGTATGTTAGTGTATATGCACTCTTGTGTGGTGTGATCATGGCAATAGATAATATAATAAAATCATTTAGATGCTGGATCATTTATAATTTTACATGTATTTTGTTGCATGTTAATTTGGGAATATAGAATAACGCATCTTCGCACTTGTCTTTATTATTATTTGTTAGAGAAGGTTCTAGAAAGTTCTAGAACCATCATCATCAGATATATTTACATATATATTTAGGATAATGATTATCTTAATTAGAGATAAAGATTGAATCTATTTTAAGTTTATCTCTATATTGTAAATGTCTATATAAAACAGTTGCAATGATTAATATGAATAAGTTTTCCCAAATATATTTATATTACTTTACATTATTCAAGCTCACAGCTGTTAAGATGAAGACGATGTAGCTCTGATGAAAACTCAATATATTAGTATTTAATGTTAGATATTGATTGACGATCATCAATCAATATCTGATTTAAAACTCAATATATTGATATTTAATTAAAAATGTTTTATTTGATTAAACACTTGAAATTATATAAACAAAAGTGATCCCCTCTCCAAAATGATATAATTTATCCCGGAAACCCTAAAGCAACGAAAAGCTCTCGACGGCAAGGAGATGATGGCGACAGCCACTCTCTGAAATTTCTTGCTGCCAGGTTTTCTAATCCTCTCATGATTTTTGTTTGTTGCGTTATATGGTTCCGATTTGCATTTTTCTCCTTCAATTGTTGATGTGTTTTTGTGTATATAGGTGTTTTTAGAAATAGATTATTGATCTGTGTTTGGTCATATATATAAATTTATAAAGCAGGAATCAGAGTTCATCATGTTTACAGAAACAAATGAAACCAACAAGTAATGGGTGTTCCTCCAACTTTGTTCGATTCCCGAAATCAAGATTTCTAATGCTATTTCATAAACATTTGTTACACCAATTAAATTGGAAATTATAGAATTAATTTCTAATAAATCTCTATTTTGATAGATGGTAGAGATTACTCTAAAAAAAATTAAAAAGAGGAATTTAGGTCCTCTCTCTACATATAGATAAGATGTTTTTAGTCCATTGTAAAGGCATTACAATCCATTCAACTAAAAAACTCTGAAAAAAAAAATTTAGATATAAGAAGAGAGAAACCTGAAAGTTCAATCTCAAACATCAGACTATTATCTTCCGCAATAATGACAGGAAGTAATGATGATTGTGATGCTTTTACAATAAACTAAAAGCATCTATTTATGGAGGGATAACTTAAATTCCTCTTTTAATTTTTTTTAAGATTAATCTCAAATATCCATCAAAATAGAGATTTATTAGGAATTAATTCTATGATTTCCAATTTGATTAATCAACAAATATTTATAAAATAGCATTATTCCATTAGAAAATTAATGACTAAAAGACCACATTATAGAAGAATAAATTATTCCTTACATGACGATGAGCTCCACTTGACAAAGCAAGATTGCTCCTCCTCATCATTAAGCTTTTTGCTATTCTTCTAAATCTCTTGTCTTGTAATGACTAATTTCAACTCTCAAAACTTAATTACTTTTCAAAAATGACAGCACCATCCTCGTTCAACCATATACTCGTCTGTGGTTCCTATGATATATCATCGTTTAAACCAATCTTTTTTTTTGGCTGAGGTGCTCACTCACTGGGTCTCTCGCAGTTTTTTATCGTGAGCAATGTGTATTTTGAGATATATATACATCTCTTCTTCAAATTGTAAATTAGTTAGTTAATTTGTGTTCTCAAAATTATCTACAAGGCTGATGAGTTGAAACCATGAGGCCCACCATACGGAAAGTTTCGGCCCGTGAAAGCAACCTTATTCACTACTGGCTGGCACGTGCTAAATTTAATTCTTTACTTAACCCGACGATAACCGGTTACCGGTTTAAACGTCAGCAATAAGAAAACCAAAAGATGTCGTCTTCCACAATCGGAATCCGTCTGTGTGGCTTGCAACGCCTCATTTTATCAGTCTGCAGATATATCCACAAAAATAAAATAATAAGATTTTTTTTTTAAAAAAGAATCTTTCTTTCTCTCTCTAGACATGAAATTTCCCTCCTTTTGCACTCTTTCTCTCTCCTTCGACTTGTACGTATTTACGTATATAGAATCGTATATCTGGAAATACACGAGGCGTTCTCGTCTCTGACGTGGTCTATTGTCTTCCTTAGCTTTAGTCAATTTCTTCTTCTTGAAACGCAAAGGCAGGAGTTTTGTTCTGTAATATTATCCACTTGAGGGCAAACAAATTAAAGTTCGAGTTTTTAGGGTTTATGGGTGACAAAAGTAAATGCCTTTAGGCTTTATTTCTGAGGATTCAATCTCAAAATGACAATTAGTACGATGTTGGGGTCCATCTCTTGTTGCCCCTCTCCCAAGGTATTTTCCTGCTTCCTTCTCACTTGAAATTTCTAGTATTGTGCATGAACTGAATCTCTGTTGTCCAAAAGTTTCATTCTTTATGTGAAGAAGTCAAGATTATATATTTCAAGATCTTGGTGACAGTGATTCCTGTTGTTGAACCGTGGTTCTGATTCAGGTGGTTTTAATTTGATTGCAGGGGTATGAAGTAGTGAAACAACACAGTGCTCGATTAAGGCATTGCGTTATCACGGTGAAATCGCTTGCGCCTGTGTATTCGGAAGGCGTAAGCTATGGGATGAAGTTACATTCTTTTGGGGGTAGAGATTTAGTTACAAGAAGGGTTTTTCATGGAAGATTCTATTTCCGAGGTAGAGGGTCTGAGTTCTCAGGGAGGAGAGTGCAGAGTTATGCAGGATTAGATGTAGCAGGCGCCGTTGATGTAATCAACGATCTCGGATTCGATACTTTGACGTTCTTGATGGTCACTGTTATAATTGTCCCTGCGTTCAGAATCCTCAAAGCCAGTCCGGTATTACAAAATGCTACACGGGTTTGGTTTATATTCTCGGTTATATAACTTGGGGGTATGACTGACTGTTTTGTTTTTTTACTTGTTGGTTCTCCTATAGATACTTGGTTTCTTCTTTGCTGGTGTTGTGCTGAACCAGTTTGGTTTGATTAGAAATCTCACAGATGTTAAAGTTCTTTCGGAATGGGGGATTCTTTTCCTGGTGAGCATTTGAGTGATGATGTTCAATTTTGTTGACAGAAAGCTTTATGCATTTGAATAAGTGGTAATGATTTGGCTTGTCCTGATTTCTTTTTTGTAACAGCTCTTTGAGATGGGTCTAGAGCTTTCACTTGCACGACTAAAAGCTCTTGCGAAATTTGCTTTTGGCATGGGGTTATCTCAGGTTTGGTCCTTATCAGAGTTCCCAAGTTCTCTTTACATTCCTTCCTATAGCTTCAGTTCTGTCAGATAAATATCTCAAGAGCCGATAATCTCTTTCATTTATGCAACTTTATAGCCAATCATACATTTTTTGTTTGATGTTTACCTTACGTTGTTCTGTTTTGCTTTGATTATTTTCCCTGTTTTTGAAGGTTTTGTTATGCACGCTTGCTTTCACCGCTTTTGAACTCCCACCAAATGGAGCTATAGGGACAAGAATTCTCGAATTCCTCTTTCATTCAAGGCCTGACTTGGTAAGCCCTTTCACTTGGAATCTTCTTAAGATGCTCTTGGCAATCTAATACCTTTCGTTCAATGTATTTCAAATCCTGAAAATTTAACGGAGGCCTCTTGTCCCAATGTGATCATGGTCAATTTCTGGTGCTTTTCGCTAGGCTTTTAGAGCTATATCCTAATATGATCTATACTTTCTATTAAAATCAAGGTCAATATCAGAAGCATTGATGAGGCCATTGTCATTGGCGCTGCTCTCTCATTGTCTTCTTCAGCTTTCGTTCTACAGGTATATTACCACAGTTGCAATACCTTAGAGTCATATTTTTAAGAAGACATCCAGTTTTGAGTATGCTTCTGTATTATTACTGTATTGACAATTTCAAAATGTACAGCTTCTTGCGGAGAAAGGTGAGCTACCTACAAGATTTGGCTCAGCAACCTTGGGAATTCTTCTTCTACAGGTTCTGCTTATCCAGTATAACTTCTATCTTCTATTTAATGACTTTCTATCTGGATACTCCATGACCTATGAAACTTCGGATTTGGGGAAAACAAAAGATATGCAGACACCTGAGAATTACACAAACACTTTCGCTTACTACTCATTGCATTGCTTGTAGGATATAGCTGTTGTACCGTTACTAGTTGTTCTTCCGGTGTTGGAGAGCCAGGTACTTTGGCTATCTCCTTCTTGATTATCTCCTATAATGGTGAAAGGAAAAAAGATGTGAAATCACTGTCAACTTAGCTGATGTCGTAAGTGTTAATTTAGACCATGGCAACTTAAATATCTTAATCTCCGTAACTTTTGCAAGAATCTTGTTGGGGAAAGCATATTGCCGATGCTTGCAAAAGAAAGTGCAAAGGCTCTTGGTGGCTTGGGCATTCTCTCCCTTGGAGGAAAGTTCCTTCTCCGTAGAATTTTCGAGGTAACTTCTTTCATGTCTCTGTTACTTCACAAAAACTATTTTCTTTAATACTCTTTTAAGTGAGTGAATAGAGGACAAACGTTTTATTTGATGCCGTGCTTAACACTAAGCCTTAAACAATATTCAGGTTGTTGCAGAAACCAGAAGCTCGGAAGCTTTTGTAGCTCTTTGCCTTCTCACAGTTGCTGGGACTTCACTTCTGACTCAAAAGCTTGGTTTCAGCGATACGGTTTGAATTTCATTTCCCTTCAAATTTCATCAGTATCCTCACTCTAATGAACTAACCCGATCTTAATCTGAAGCTTGGAGCTTTTCTAGCGGGAGCACTTCTAGCAGAAACAAATTTCCGGACGCAAATCGAAGCTGATATTAGGCCATTTAGAGGCTTACTTCTTGGTTTGTTCTTTGTAACCACAGGAACTTCCATTGACATGGAGGTAAACTGTTATAATGCATTACATAAAGAAGATGCAACTGTGAACATAAACGTTTTATGTCCATGATGTGTTATAATCTTTTGCAGGTTCTGTTTCGAGAATGGCCTAATGTCCTCTCACTCTTGGGTGGTCTCATTGTGATCAAAACACTGATTATAACCGCACTCGGTCCTCGAGTTGGACTCACGTTACAAGAAAGCGTAAGAATCGGTTTTCTTCTTTCTCAAGGAGGAGAATTCGCATTCGTTGTCTTCTCTCTAGCCAACAGGTTTTGCTTCTAACTGCAATCTCCAAAACATATCATTAGATTCGACATTTTACGTAGTAATTAGGTGGCTATGATTGATTGTTACAATGATATGTGCAGGCTTGGAGTGCTTCCACTTGAGCTGAACAAGCTGCTCATTATCGTAGTTGTTTTGTCTATGGCGTTAACACCTACGCTTAACCAACTTGGAAGAAAAGCCGCCGATTTTCTTGATGAGAAGCTTGATCCCGGAGACGTAACTTATAAATTCTTACATGCTGCAACCTTATATATATATATGAAAAAGATTAGATTTTGCATTCATCACGAATCTGTCAACATTTCTGCAGAGAATAGAAGAAGATGTGAACTACGACGTTAGTGAATCAATTGTCATCATTGGATTTGGACAAATGGGTCAGGTAAAAAAGTTTGCATTTTTCGTTTCCTCGGGAAAAATTCGTGCTAAGTGGTTTTCTTATCGAATCCGATATGATTTTTCAGGTGCTGGCCAATTTTCTGTCAACACCGTTGGTCTCAGGAGTAGATAGTGACCTTGTGGGATGGCCTTATATTGGTTTTGATCTGAATCCTGCAGTAGTGAAGGTCTGAAACAGAGAACAGATTCTGTTTGTTACTGATCTGATCAAATTTGTTGGCATTATAAAACTGTTTCTTTTTTGGCAGGAATCAAGGAAACAAGGTTTCCCGATCTTGTATGGAGACGGATCTAGGCCATCTGTTTTGCAATCTGCAGGTGTTTCATCTCCCAAAGCAATCTTGATAATGTATAAAGGCAAGAAGAGAACCACTGAGGCTGTTCAAAGACTTCGTCTTGCGTTTCCCGCGGTTATTTCACTCTTCCTTCTTCTTTTAAATCTGTTGAGAAACCTCAAGTTAAGTGGCAGCGAGTGTTAGCTTGGGACCTAAACTCTGGTTGCGTTTTTAACTTATTACCAGACTCCGATTTACGCAAGAGCTCAAGATTTACCGCATCTCCTTGAGCTAAAGAAAGCAGGAGCTACAGATGCAATTCTTGAAAATGCAGAGGTAAACTTCAAGAAAGATCTCATCTTTGAATCTTTTAATTATTGGAGATTTCCGTCCTGATGGAGTTTGTTTGGTTACTGTTTTTGGCACACAGACAAGTTTACAGCTTGGTTCGAAGATGTTGAGAGGATTTGGAGTAATGTCTGATGACGTGAGCTTTCTGAGTAAAGTCTTTAGAGATTCAATGGAGATTCAAGCTCAAGATGAAATCACTGCTGCTGAAACCATTGCTGCTTCACAAGATCAGCTCATGAAGCCGATGCAAGTCAAAGCTTCTGATTTAGCGGCAGACTCTACACAAGTTCAGCTCATGAAACCAATGCAAGTGAAAGCCTCTGATTCAAACGCAGACTCTGCAGAGATTCTTCAAGGAACAGATGATTTGAGTCAGCCTGAGATTGATTCTTCTGTGAATATAGATAATGGGTTTGTTGGTAAAGCTGATAAAGCTCAAGAGTAAAAAAAAAAAAAAGATTATGTTCCAAATTCTAACATTTTTTTTAATGAAATGTGCAGAGAATCTTACAAACTGTATTTCTATTTTTTCCTGTGATTATTATGTATAGTTTTTTTTTCGATTTCACTGTTACCAAAAATCCAAAATTTTCAGGAAATATGTGCTTACAATCGAAAAAGACGGAAATTTTATTCGAGTAAAAAGAAATTTTGGGTTGATTCGGTTTACGCTTGGGGATCATTGGGTATGAGTATGCTAACACTGCTGTTTTACTCTGTGCGATATGAATGTCATGCCGTTTCATTAAGAAGAGAAACGACGACCAATCTATAGAACTGCTGACGTCACTACTTTCTTTTCATTGGGTTGTATAAACCACGCGCTTGCTGATTCGTCTGGGTCTCGTCAAAACTGTGCTAAGCTTAAACAATCAATTATCGTAAATATATAAATATTTGACTATAGAGTATTATTTATTAATACAAATGTGTAGTTTTTTCTGTAAATAAGAAGAAAGACGAACTTCTCAGTTTCGATTTCGTTCGTTTCTAAGTTCTGTATATGTGAAAATTCATTGCAACCTTAGTTTAAGCTTTCACAGATTCCGTTGGGCTTTTGGGTTTCGTGACGATTCACCGATTTGATTTTGCGGCGTTGATCGGATCGAATTGCGATTACGGAGGGAAGAGAAAAAAGATGGCTCAGGCTGTAGAGGAATGGTACAAACAGATGCCGATAATCACTCGGTCGTATCTCACGGCGGCTGTTATTACCACTGTTGGATGTTCCCTCGATGTATGTGCCTAATTGTGCCCACCTTATGATCTTTTTGGGTTTTGTTTTTTTTTTTCGAAATTCGAATTTTTTTTTTTCTGGATTCTTAGGCCTTTTTGATTTGTTCATGCTCGGAGATTAGTTAAGCTGGTTTTATTTTCCTTATGGATGAAGTTTGATAATTAGGGTTTCATACTGAAAATGATTTCGGCTCAGTTCCACATTTGTTTACTGTTTTGCAGATTATATCTCCATATAACCTATACTTGAATCCCACCCTTGTGGTGAAGCAATACCAATACTGGCGTCTCGTTACAAATTTCTTGTATTTCCGTAAGATGGGTAAGTGTTCTTGGCTTACGGTACAGCATTTTTGACTTTCCTTTTCATTTTATTTAGAACATGATTGTGAATTTCAGTGCTTCTGCAGAAGCTCTGTACGTAGGTGTCATTATTGAAATGGCTTCAGAACCGGTTTAGAGTTCTTGTCTGACCAGATATACTTAGTATCTTGCCTTATAGTCACGATGTTTCATTGATACACTTCAGTTACATTCTGAAAGTTCCCTTTTTTTTGACAAATCTGATTGACTGTTTTTGTTTTTTTTTTTTTGTGTGTCACATTTCTAGCTATTGGCTACTGACAAGGTTTAGGTCCTGCTTGTTATTGTCTGATTGATTATGTAATCAATTTGTAGATCTGGACTTCATGTTCCACATGTTCTTTCTCGCACGATACTGCAAACTCCTTGAAGAAAACTCATTCAGGGGAAAAACTGCTGATTTCCTGTACATGCTCCTATTCGGAGCATCTGCTCTCACCGGTATTGTTCTCATCGGCGGAATGATACCTTACTTCTCCGCATCTTTTGCTAAGATCATCTTCCTCAGCAACTCGCTGACTTTCATGATGGTTGGTAACTTCTGTTGTATCTTGTTTCCCACAAATCTAAGTCATCTCTTAACCCAGCTTACACAGTCTCCTATGTTGTACAGGTCTATGTATGGAGCAAACAAAATCCTTATATTCACATGAGTTTCCTTGGTCTCTTCACCTTCACTGCAGCTTACCTACCATGGGTGAGTTTTTAACTTTCTCGCTTCCTTCTCTTTTCACCGGAACAAAAAGAAATAACATTCTTCCGGCATTGCAGGTCCTTCTCGGATTCTCTGTCCTTGTTGGTGCCAGTGCTTGGGTGGATCTTCTGGTATATATAAACTCAAACTAACCCTTTATGATCTTTATCCGCCAACATAATGTTGAAACCTGTCGAAAACATTACAGGGTATGATAGCAGGTCACGCTTACTACTTTCTAGCTGAGGTTTATCCGCGAATGACTAATCGTCGTCCTTTAAAGACTCCATCGTTCCTCAAAGCCCTGTTTGCAGATGAACCGGTCGTTGTGGCACGGCCAGAAAACGTTAGGTTTGCAGCTGCACCTTTCGATGAAATCCACCATGACGGACTCTGATCTTGGGGACTTTCCGAACTGGAAACACCGATTCAGTTGGTCAGAGATAAATGGTGGAAAAGGAAGAAGATGATACAGAAAGCCTGTTGACTCTGACACGCTAGTTGTGAACCCACACACCCTAGTTTCAAAGTAGTTGGGTTCCTTTTATTTACTCTCATCTTTGTAGTGTGTGTATACATATTTTGCTTTGCTCTTAGTGCTTATGGATATGGTCACACTCAAAACTGTCGCAATGTTTCAGGTCAGTCTTAAATTCAAATAGAAAACTATAAAATAAAATAAAAAATAGCTTCGGAAATTTTCGGAAATTTGCGTTTTGCACGTGCCAAGAGTCGCATTATTTCTCCCAAGGTTCGGTTTTATAGATCACCCAGTTTCAGACAATCTTACCGAAACAAAAGCCTCATTTTTTTTTGTACAAAGAAAAGGTCAAGACATCGTTTTACAAGATAGTTCACAGGCTTCTTACGTTGCCCACGACTCCTGTTCTATATCTGAAGTTAGCAGAGATGATAACAGATTCCGGAAAACTGCAGAACCTGTCAAGCTTTTCCGTATGTGGTGGAGTTTATAAATGCCTCAAAACTATGATCTCTTAATCATAGAGATAGGTTTCTTCTTCATGTATTGTGCTCCGTAAGCTGCAGTTGAAGCCATAGTCGTCGAAGCAACTAACCAGCTGGATACAAAAAAAAAACAAATGAGACCTATAAACAAGATTTCAGTAACACACTCCACATATATGTTATAACTTGAGGGCAGTGCTTATCCCACAGACTGCAAGAGAGGAAGACCTATTACCTTAGATAAGTGATCCATGTCTGTGTATCTGGATTCCCAAATTCGGGTTGAAGTAATGCGCCGGCGACTAGAGCCAATTGGAAAACCGTATTTACCTGCCCATCACCATGTTTTTTTTTAACCAACCATGTTTCTTTGGGTGCACAAGTTGGCATTTGGCTTCTAGAGATCATACCTTGCTTATAAACAATGGTTTTACTTTCTGAGGGCTTGCACCATCGAGGTTGAAGAAATCACTCCAGTTTTTCCACTGAAAGAAACAAAGGCCAAACATGATTTCCACCAATAATCTCAGCTTGTGTTCTTGATAAACGATATGGTCGAGCGGAAATATAATGTAGAGAAACTGGTTGAGAGTTGTAGTTCAAAGTTGTAGAGCTTCTTCACCTTCCAGTCTAAGTTTAGTGCCCTTAGATATACTGCACCACCAACGAGTGCAACATCCCGGAACACCACAATTCCAACCAGCCCAGCTTTAAAACACAATTGTCACATGCAGTCACCAAGATTTGAGTTTAGAATCAGTGAAAGTTAAGACACTGTTGCAACCAAGAGGTCCAAGACGACTAACAAACTTAAGAGATGTGGGAATGAAAACTAAGTCACAACTTTCTACGGAGGTTTGTTCTTGAAGCTGTGTGAGATCAAAGAACTGAAACAAGAAAGAATTGAAACCACGATCTATACTAATTGCATCGGCGATCTCATTATTCAATCAGTGAGTAGAAGAGATGAAAAAAAAAAACAGAATACTCACGATGTAAGAGATCCTTCTGCACCATTGCCAACGCAACACACCCAATAAGAACCTGAAATTGAAAAAGAACAATCAAGAAAGGTGAGTTCAAACTGAAACTTGAAACCAAACCTTAAACCATAGACACATTCAAATACCACACATAACAGATCAAAAGATTCCACCTTGTCTGCGAGAGGATCAAGGTATGAGCCAACCACAGAATCAATCTTCATCCTCCTAGCCATGTAACCATCTAACTACAAAGTCAAATTTCCAAAACAAGTAAGATTCAAAACAATGTTCTTCTTCCCAAAACTCTGAAAAAGAACTACAAAGAAGATGAATACCCAATCACTCGCTCCAGATACAGCCAACCCAACGAATGCAGGAGTATACATCTCATTCGAGATCATCCTACAATAGAACAAGAATCAGTTTCAGATTCTTCATTCTCTGATATATTTTTTTTTTTTTACTGGGAAAGAGATTCTTGAGACTTACCACCAAAGCGCAGGACCAGATACTAATCGTGCCATAGATATCATATTCGGCACGTTAACAAAACTCTCCATTATCCCACCGTTCTCTCTACTTCCATCTTCCTCCTTGAACAAATTGCGATCCACCGTCACCACGTTTGATGCCGCCGACTGCAACCCCAACCTCGTTCTGCTCCTAATTCGATCCAATCTAATGTTCAGAGCCTCGACCTTCCTGAAAACCGCGCCGTTTCCTCGCCAATGCAAAGGTGTCGCGGACTGTAGCAGTTTCCAGGGAGGAGAAGACAGGAAGAGAGGTCCACGAAGAGGGACGAACCATTTGGAGAGCGGAGACAACCGGTGCGAGAAATGTGGGAACAGCGGCAAAAACGACGGTGGGATCGGAGAAACGGTGCCGCCGGAAGGTGCGGCGGAGGCGGCGGTGAAGAACGGTCTTGTTTTACGGTGATTGATTGCAGCTAGCTTTCTAAGAGATCTGTGAAACGCCATCGATCATCAAAGCATCGTCTTACTTAATTTTCTTTCAGTTTCTTTTTTCTTTGCCGTTCTTCTGTTTGTTTCTGTTGATCGGAAAATTCGAATTTGTTTGATTCCTTAAACACCGGAGAAGGAGAAGATGAATCAGAGACGAAGGCTACTAGGTTTTCGCAGCTTGGGGGGTTTTGACTTCTGCCACCTGTAAGATTCATGAGCCACGTGGAAGCTTTATGTAAACGTGGCAAGAATTAACCGCGTCATTAACCGGAATAAGAAGAGCCGGAGATAACATTGAGTGTTTTTGGTTTGGGTTTAAATTACCGGTTTTAAATCTTATATGCTTCGTAGAATGTTTTCGGTTTGATCAGTTTGGTGTTGGAAATAAACACGGTAATCAAATTTTCTTTGATAAAAATGGTATATTCGAGATGAATGACTAATGCGAACAGACCACAGAACCAAAACACATTTAGTCTGGTTTGGAATATAAACCAACCAAATCAACTAAACCGGTTAAGGCTGAGCACTAAACATACTCTGGAGAGGCTGAATCAAAAATCAACATGAGTTGTTGCTTTACTTCATCTTCTGCAAACGTTGCGTCTATGGCGGATCTAGCCAATGTAAAAGCTTCTCTCTTACTAAGACCTTCATAGAAACATCAAAGTCCAAAGGAGAAAAAAAAAACACAATTAGATTCTTGAAAATGTACTTTCTTTGTGACTATCAAAAGTTCTAAATCACAAAAAGCTCTGTAGTCTCTGAGCTCAGATTCTGAAACTCACCAAAGGAACGAACAGCGAGAGCATACTCATTGCAGAGGCTAGTGGAGAAAACTCCAAAATCATCAGTGCATATAATCAATGGATGCTTTGCATTGTAGAGATCAGCTGTTACAAGATCAGTTTTAAGGCCATGTCAAGATCCATGGTATATGATTTAGACTTCGATGCATCCAAAAATGTAAAAAAAAAAAAAGATGGTGGATCTAACCGAAATGGTGTATATCGATTGAAGATATCGACTTGGTTATAATGTTGGACGTAAGACATATTTCAACCTGCAATAAAACAGCGAAATGTCACACACTGTTTATAAGATTATATACGTCAGTGAAACAAGAAACTGTAAATGCAAATCTATTACCGGAATCCGGAAAGATTTCAACTTTTCCCAATCATCATCTTCAAAGAAACAAGCATGGCCGATTCGATGCGGTTTGAAATCAAGCATGGCTTGGATCTCTTTTGAATTGGGGACCTACAAAGCACTAAGACAGAGAAAGTAAGTAGATAATCTTTTGAGAAAGAAGAAAGAAACATTTGAAAAATCGGTTTAATGGATTTTTACCTCTCCACAGTGAAGAGTGATGTAAAGATCATTGTCTTTAGCGAACTGTAACGCAGGCAAGAAAGTGCTCCTACAAGAACATGAAAGATTTCAGAAGCAACTTTTAAAAACAGAAGCGAAAGGATGAACAAGAAGTAAGGAATTTTACCATTCTCCAACAAGAGGATTCCCAGAAAGATCGATACCGACAACAACACCGACATTTCTCATTTCCAACGCGAGCTTAACCTTAAAGGAGACAAAAGGATCATGTTTTAATCATATTTGTGTTATATAAGTTCTCGAGTAGCTTTTGCTTGTTTTTTCAAACACTTACAGTTTCCATTGCAGACTCTGTTGTTTCTCTACGGTCAATGCTAAGAAGAAGCCTAACATAAATCTTCTTCCTTCGAACTCCATCACACGCATTGCGTATTTTTTGTGAATTAGATTCCGTAACAAAATCAGTATCGACTTCACTGACAGATCTCAGACCTTCCAATACCGCTTCCATGTAAGAACGTTTACTCATACCTATCGAATCGTTCCTCTACAAACAAAAAAACAAGTCTCATTTGTAAAATGTAGAACAATCTAACTTGGAGCAATTGCAAATATGCAAGATTTGTGTTTACCTTTGGAGTTGTTCGTAACTCAAGATAAACCACATTTTCTAAAGCAAAGTCTTCTACAACCTGTCAAAGAGAAGATACAATTCAGAACTCTTAAAATTTACTAATGGGTGAAAAATGAAATAAGGGTTTTACTTCTCTAGTGATCCTTGTCACTGTTTGGTGATCAGTGGTGATCTTATGGATCAAATCGAACAACTTGAAGACCTCAGACAAAGATCGATCATCTAAAAACAACAAATAAAACGAGAAAGATTTCGATTTTTGATTTTTAGACCAAACATGAACAAGATATGGAACAAAGATCAGAAATCAAAGCGAACACTTTGACCTACTTTTCCGAATGACATCTTCAACATCAGCAAACACTATAACGCCTTTCTCACCAAGAACCTTAGCAAGCTCTCTGTCCAATTAATAAGAAACAGAAAAAAAAAAACCCACCAGAATTCAAACCTCAAAATCGAATTTTCAACATTAAAAAGTGTCCGTAATTGATCAGTGCAGTTGCAGAAGAAGCAAGCAAATACAAAGAAAGAATGAAAATTTGGGACTTTACAGAAGAGTGGAGTCTCTAATGGAGCCGTTGAGATGCGCATGAAGCTCGATTTTGGGCAGTGAATTTATCCATTCCATGATTTTCACTCGTAGAGAAGAGAAGAGTGACAGACACACAGTATTGGGATTAGACGTTTCTCTTAAGGAAGATAAACACAGCCACAAGTTACAAAGCCTGTGTAACTTTTAGGAGTTTATCTTATCAGTATAGTAAAATAAATAAATAAATCATCATAGTTTTGGGCCTAAAACTGTGGTCGCTTACGGCCCGTTATACCAAATTTAACAAAGCCACAAGATGTGAAGATCTTTTTTAACTGTGCTAGTCCCAAAACATGCATATTAATATTAGTATACAGTTTAGATTACTTTTTTTTGGTTTTTCATTTCTTAAATAAAAGCAAATATAAACTAATTAGGATATTGGCCCGCACGCATGTGCGGAGATGAACAATTTTAAAAATGTAATTATTTATATACAATACTTAAATCTGTCTTAGAGATTTTAATTTTTTGTAGTTTATGAAACTCAAGGTTAGTGTTTTGAATTATAAGACTTTAAATTAAATAGTAAAATATTATCTAATTTTATGTAAATATTTTGTTATAATAAAAAGTTCATTTATATTTTGAGATAGACTTGAAAAATAATAATTAAATTTGGAAAACACAAAAATTATTTTTCCATGAACAGGTTTTGTAAAACTTGACCCACTATGTTAGAGAGTCAAATGAGTCAGACCCATGGATAGTTGGTTACCTTCTTCGGATTTGCTGATTAGACTGCAAATTTTATCTTCTTTGTCTTTTTTCTTGGAACAAACATTTTTCATTTTCTTTATCTTCATATAATCTTCTTCAATTTAAAGCATTATTTCTTCAAGGATTCTGTCATTGTTGATCTCGATCTACTCATCTGTGCGATTTTTCTAATTATAATTTTATTAAGTAGACTCTACAAATAATTGCAAGACCATCTCTACTTAAACATCAAGTGCTTCAACTAACCATATTGCAAGACATGTTTCAGCGAAGGTTAGATATAAAACTCTGTTTACTGTCCTGATATCTTTGAAGCATACTGATCCTCTCTGAACATTTAGTAATATTCTAAGGTAGAAAAGCTCACCATATTCTTCTAAAACTTCTGGAAGGCTGATATCGTAGGAAACATTATTTTTTCTGTTGCACAGGCGAGGGAGCCACTTCTTAATTTTTTTTATGCCAAATCCATTTGTTTGGAAATTCAGTGTAGCGATAAAACCTTACTTCATTACACTCATGATTGGAGTTTATCCAACCTTCAAGTTTCATTTTAGCCATATTCCATTTAGGTAAATGGATTGGTAGAATTGTCATGCCCGCACTTTGAGTTAGGGCTTGATTTGTTTGATACTCATGTATATTATGATATTTTCTTATATAAGGACCCGAGTATTTAAATTTTTTATTACGTAGTTATTTGGCATGAACGTGATTTTATATAGACCTTTTGGTTATTATTAAATGGACATTAAACTTTTTAAATAATGTAGAGGATTATAATTTTGGTTTTTCATTAGATGCACGTTGATTTTTTAGGATATCTTACGTTTGTTAATAAAGATAACGTAGAGGATTATTAAATTGAAATCTTATATTTATATTTGTTATTATTTTTAAACTAAACTAATTTTTAATTTTGAATGTTCTACAGAAGATCACAATAATATCTTATTTTGTTATTATAATTTTACCAACTGAACTATGTGAAAACATATGTGCACGTAAATGGAGCACCGCCTTTACAAAAAATATGAAATATTAGGTAAACGATTTGATCAATGTGATTTTGCTATTATAATTTTGCCTACTGTGAAGTATATGAAAACATATGTGTATGTATTCCATATGAATATAGTATTGTAATATATATGTAGATATGTGTACATATGGAAAGTCACAGTGGTCCACGATAGAGCTATAGTAAATTTTATAGGTATAAAATATAGTATTATCTATAGTATTACAATATATATATATATATGTGTATTAAAATCATCACGTTGAGCCCAAAATTTATCTACTATTACTTATATAGATGAATAATAATATCAGGTCATTCGTAGTGCATCCGACGAATCATTTCAGATTTAGTTATTAGTACATTAAATATTATCATCTAATTATTATTTTTTATTTATGGAAATATCACAAAAATTGTTTTTGCCATGTCATCAACCACATGTGTTAGTAAATGACATGTCACAATTACATCATCATTACACATCATCATTTCCATGTCACATTTAATTAAGGTAGACAAATGATTTTAACCAATCAGATTAAAACAAATCAGTATTTTTTATTAAACTACATTCTCAATTAATAGGTAGAGGATGAGACTCAATTATTTTTATATCTAAGTCTCAACGGTTTCTATAGACATTTTTGTAAAGGATCACATAAAAGATATTGAGAAATAGAGAGAGACAACAAAAAGATCAAAAGATGGACTTGAGAGAGCAGCACACATGCTGATTCAACAACATGTGTTATGTTTGATGAGTTCTGAGACATGAATTTCCACGTGCAGATTAATTAAAGTATTGTTGACCAATGACAAATAGACTGTTGAAATGAATTGAGAATTACATTTTGGAAAAAGTCATGATGATGTATGTAGAAATTACATTTTGCTTTGTTTGGGTGGTAACGTCAAATAATTTAATCAAGGATTTTCTTGAATTCAAACAGAGTTTAGCCATAAAAAAATATGACATGGAAAAATCTATAAATAGAGGAAGAAGATAGAGGAACATATATGGTAATGGTGGAGAGAGATGATGAGAGGCGTACAAAACATCTTCCACCATTTTTACACATTCTCCTTCTCACTCATCTTCTTCCTTGTCTTGATGCTCTTTGGTTCTACATTTTCCACCCATGTCAACACTTTGTCAACGACAGATTCTCTTACAATCTCAAGGAACCGAACCATTGTGTCTCTCCTAATGATGTTTTCGAGTTTGGTTTCTTCAAACTCGCCTCAAGTTCTCGTTGGTATCTCGGAATATGGTGCAAGAACATTCCCGAGAGGACTTACGTATGGGTTACCACCAGAGACAAACCTCTCTCCAATTCCATTGGAACTTTATGTCTTGATCTAAAAAATATTTATGCTAATTGTTTCATTAAAAAAAATCTAAATTTTATATTTTTCACATGTTTATTTCGTTCATTTTAATCAAATGAGATGTATTTGATCTTAACTAAAAATATTTCAATTTTATAACGTTTTAACGCTTTTTTATATCGTTCTCTTATGCGTTATAGATTTTTCCATTATGAAGTCATAGTAAAAGTCAAAAAAATCTTACAGTATTTGGGTTATCTCAAACAGGTTTTTAAAAATGGGGTGTAATTAATACCTCTGAGAAAGAAAACGGGCCAAAAACAGGATTTGCAGAAAGTAGAGATACAAAATTGGGAAGTAAAAAAAAAATCCTCTTCACTAAAAATACTTCTGCTATCGATCCCTCTCTCCCTTCCCCCGAAGGTGGTGATTCGCGTTTCCATGGTGGACAGAAACCCTAGCCTTATGCTGACACTAATTATCACTCGTCACTGTTGAATTGGGATGGAATCGGAGAAAATACTCAACCCAAGGCTTCTCTCGATTAATAGCACCACCGGCCGCAAAGGGATGCCCGTTGAGTTGCCGCAGAAACCGCCGCCGCCGCCGTCGATACTGGAGCGGTTCAAGGCTTTGATTAATCAGCGTGAAGATGAGTTCAGTGGCGAGGAGGTTCCACCTCCGAGCATGGAAGAAATTGTTCAGCTTTACGAGGTCGTTTTAGGCGAGCTTACTTTCAATTCCAAGCCTATCATCACTGATCTCACTATCATCGCCGGTGAACAGCGGGAACATGGACAAGGAATCGCCAATTCTATCTGTACCCGAATCCTCGAGGTCTAGGTTTTTTTTTGTTTCTTCCATTGAAGCCTTATTGTATAATTCAATAGTGCAAACGTGGAAGAAATTAGTTTTTTTGTGGGCTTAGAGAAGAATGTTTAGTTTTGATTTAGTGAACTAGGACTGCTGCTTCTGAGTTTATTAGCGAGGATTTTGATGAAATACTGAGTTTTTATGATACAATTTCATGAATTTGCAGGCTCCAGTTGAGCAAAAGCTGCCTTCTCTATATCTTCTAGACAGCATCGTCAAGAACATTGGGCGGGATTATGTTCGTTATTTCTCATCTCGTTTACCTGAGGTGAGCTTAATTGATCTGTATAGAGCCGAGGCATGCTCATCATAAGATGTTTTGGTTCATGTATGTATGTTCTTGTAGGTCTTCTGTTTAGCATACAGGCAAGCGCATCCGAGTTTACATCCTTCAATGCGCCACCTGTTTGGGACTTGGTCGAGCGTTTTTCCACCACCTGTGTTACGCAAGATTGAGATGCAATTGCAACTCTCGTCTGCAACAAACCACCAATCTTCCGCGGGGGCTTCAGAGTCTGCTCAGCCTACAAGGGGCATACATGTTAATCCAAAATACCTTCGAAGGCTGGAGCCCTCAGCGGCGGAAAGTGTAAGCCTTTCTCTTTGTCATTATGAAGAGAGATGACATTCTTCTGTGAATGCATCTGCTACGTTGAAGCTACGATGTGTTGATTTTTCTATCACTACATTCAGGAAACCCTGGTATTTGATTAGTCTTGCCTCATAGTTGCCATGTTCATGATTTTTGTTCTGTATGGATACGATTGCCTTTAGTAATTAAGTTTTGCTTGATTTACGTATTTAAAGAGTTTGATCTACTTTCTTCAAGTACTCAATCCGGTTTGGAAGGGTTGTTGCGGTCTCTCTCAATTATTCATGAGGAGTAAGTCAATAGGAATCTGGTGCATTCTAAGTAATGCGCTTGTTAACGTGTATAGAGGGCTTCTTTTAGTTAGACACGATAGACTTCTGTTTATGCATCGTTACATCGATCTGAACTTGTTTTTTCGTATGCTGTTTACCAAAATAGTTACTTACACGGTTACGCCTAAAAGGCATTTCACTATAACTGCTCGTACTTGGTATGCAGAATTTGAGAGGAGTAAATTCCAGTGCAAGAGTGTATGGCCAAAATTCACTCGGTGGATACGATGATTTTGAAGATCAGTTAGAGAGCCCATCGTCCATGGCTGGACCAAGGTCTAGTACAGCTGGAACTTTGGCCCTCTCATCTACTGCAGTTGGAGGTAACAATCAACACTCCTTCAATCTCCAGACCTGTAAGACTTAGTATTGACTTTAAACAGCCTTCATATTTTGACTCCTAATGTCTCTGCAGCAGAAGGGTTTCCGAGGAGGTTTAGTGATGAAGCTAATCCTTCTAATCAAGCCTATAACTACGGAATGGGTCGAGCTACTGGCAGAGATGATGAACACATGGAATGGCGAAGAAAGGACAACTTAGGGCAAAGAAATGATCATGAAAGACCCAGGGCTTTGATAGATGCATATGGAGTTGACACCAGCAAACACGTAACCATCAATAACCCAATTCGCGACAGGAATGGCACCCACAGTAAAATGATTACACCATGGCAGAACACTGAGGAAGAAGAGTTTGACTGGGATGATATGAGCCCTACCCTAGAACGTAGCAGAGCGGGTGACTTTTTGCGATCATCTGTTCCACCATTAGGAAGTGTAAGGCCAAGACCTAGACTAGGAAACACAAGTGATTTTCATTTAGATTCTGACATTAAGAATGGTGCAAGTCATCAGCTACGAGAAAATTGGAATTTGTCACAAAATTTTCCCCTTTCATCCAGCCGTGGTAGTACCATATCAGGAAAGGACCTGAAAGTGTTGGCTTCATCTGTAGGACTAGTTTCATCAAACAGTGAATTTGGGGCTTCTCAGTTTGATAGTTTTCAAGATGGCAACTCTCGTTTTGGTCGGGGGCCTCCTATGGTATCAAGAATTGGGTCTTCTGGTGCCGATGCTCTTCCTGATGGGACATGGCCCCATTTGAGTGCTAGAGGATCCAACTCTCTCCCTGTACCTTCTGCTCACTTGCATCATTTGGCAAATCCTGGTAACACGATGTCAAATCGCTTGCATGGTAAGCCTTTGTACAGGCCCGAGAACCAGAGTCATCTTAATGATATGACTCAACAGAATCACATGCTAGGTAATTATTTGCCATCTTCATCTGCAATGGATCCAAGGGTAATGCAATCGCTGTTACCCCACGGTCATGGGTACCCTCCACAGGGGTCATCCGTGAGACCAGCTTTATCAATCCATGGTGGGGTAGGCACGCATCCTCTTTCTTCAGGGGTTTTATCTCAAATAGGATCCATCTCTCAAAATCCTTCGTTGGCAGCCTCTAACCAACCACCGGGAGGCGCTTTTTCTGGTTTGATTGGCTCTCTCATGGCTCAAGGTTTGATCTCGTTGAACAATCAGCCTCCTGGTCAGGTATTTATTCAAAGCATGTCTCTCCTTCTATTGCTTGAGAGTCGCGTTGTTCTAGCTTTATCTTGAATAGTTGGTTTATAATATTCAGGGACCATTGGGGATGGAGTTTGATGCAGACATGCTCAAGATACGTAATGAGTCTGCAATCAGTGCTCTATATTGGGACCTCCCGAGGCAATGCACAACATGTGGTCTACGTTTCAAATGCCAAGAGGAGCACAGTAAGCACATGGATTGGCATGTTACCAAGAATAGGATGTCAAAGAACCATAAGCAGAAACCTTCTCGGAAATGGTTTGTAAGTGGTAGCATGTGGCTTAGTGGCGCAGAGGCACTTGGAGCTGAAGCAGTACCAGGGTTCTTACCCGCAGAGCCAACAACGGAAAAGAAGGATGACGAAGAGATGGCGGTTCCTGCAGATGAAGACCAAACTTCATGCGCGTTATGTGGTGAGCCGTTTGAAGACTTTTATAGTGATGAAACCGAGGAATGGATGTACAAAGGTGCCGTGTACATGAATGCTCCTGACGGATCAGTAATAGATGTGGACAAGTCTCAGTTAGGTCCTATCGTGCATGCAAAGTGCAGGCCAGAGTCCAATGGGGTAAATTAATTCTCTCCATACATTCTAAATAACTTCATTTGCATACATCATCAGTTTTAGGTGTTGTAAATATCGCACAGCCTCATGATTTGTCGATTATGGATGTTTTTTTTCAGGGTGATAATGAAGAAGGTAGTCAAAGAAAGAAGATGAGGAGTTAGATCCCTTTAGACCGACTTTTAGGTCAATATTCTTGACTACATTTTACGTTACATTCTTATTTCTTCTTCATCTATGTGCACTTAGTCACATTATGTCACATCACTGATGGAGAGACTCTTCTTCTCCTGAAACTGTACCATTCGAAAGTGAAAAAAAAAGAGGTTACGTCTACATCTCTTCGTTCTTTATACCTCTAAAAAATCTTGTTGTGGCTTAGGACATGGAAATCGTGTAACTGTTCTGAGTTTGCTGCTACACCTATCACATGTCGCAGCACCATGTATATGAATTACAATGCGTCTGTTTCTTTCTTCGTTTTGGGATTGTCTTTTCTTTTTTTTTCATCTTTAGATATTGCAGGGGAAAGCTTGAGGAAGACTGATGTTCGTGTGAACAGATTGTCTATGATGAGTAGCTAAGAGAATTGGTTTCAGACTTTTTTTATATTTCTTTTGAGCTTTCGCTGTTTGAATTATGATACTTATTTCACAAGTTTTACATTTCTTCTCTCTGAACCTTTTGTGCTGTTAGTTTCAACTTCTCAGTTTATCATGAAGTAAAGTTTTACACCACAGTGGAAAGCTTGAGTGGTACATATATGAGGAACATAAAAATGTAAACTAATAGTGTACTAATAACAAAGATTTGTTCCATATATCTGTCTAGTACCACAAAAGGGCTTACAAAACAACGAAGTAACATACACTTGGTCGAAGAAACACAAACGCAAAAAGGGTTCGAATACAAACAAAAAAAAGCTCTTAAACCGTGGTTTCCAGCAGAAGTCAATACCCGAACCTCTTTACCCTTTCTTCCTCATCATTTTGAGATAAGATCAAACGCAAAAGGTGCGTTCTTGACTTCCTTTGGATTTCAAAAACAAACAAAATCAGAAACCATATCCACTTTTTTAGCTTCTTCATTCTCTTATTCTTACTTCTGCGAACAAACAAACAATAACCCCCAAAATCAAAACAGGTAATCTTGTTACTTGCGTCACAAGAATACTACAATGTCAATGGATGTATAACAACAGTAAACCTAATTATCAACACATACCTGAAAAAACTAAACTACTCCACCACCACCTCCGTCGCAAGCAACGGCAGCTTTGATCCTTTCCACCGTACATTTGATCAGACTATTAACCGTAGCCACCGAGCCAAGAGAGAGTTTAGCTGTAGGAACAGAGTCAACAAGTATCTGAAACGCTACGGTTAAGAGTGAGCCACAGCTCCCAGAAGCAGAAGAAGTAACCACTTCCTGATTATTCCCATCTCCGGTTCCTCCTCCGACCGAACCATCCGGTAAAATAGCAAAACCAGACGGCAGCAACGCCACGTAATCAGGATCTCCGCCGCTCAGCACAACGTTCATCGCCACTATATCCACCGGAGCATAAATCACATACGATCCAGACGCGTCCGTACAACTCTCTTGCAGAATCAACATATTGCTCTGGCTCGAGTTTCCGCTCTGTTTAAACAAAAACCAAACGAACAATCTTTATTACGAAATCGAAGAAGCTAAAAAAAAACAATCTTGATTTGACAGTAAGAACCATACGTTGACTCGGAGCAAAGAGACGCAGTTTCCAGGTTCACGACCATTGGCTATATGGGCCATTTCTTGTACCATTCCTCCATTCGAAAGAATATCCCACTGCAAGAAAAATTCAAACCGATCAAACCGGATTTTTGGATCTTTATTGATTTCTGTAGCTATGAATTTATATGCATGATTTTAAAATGTGTTACATTTACTAATGAAGTATGTGATTCAAATTTGTAAACCGGTTTTAAAATTCAGCACGGATCACCGGTTCAAGTGGTTGTATTCGGTTTACCTCGCTTCTTGAATTTTCGTCGCGGAGGAAATCGAAAACCCGCTTCGGAGCCACAGGGATCCAGAAGGAAGTCGCGGCGCTAAGAACAATACCCGGAGGTCTTCCCGGATCATCCATGCTCTTTCGGGTCATGACCCGAACATCATCGGATCCTGTTGACGACATCGTCGTCCACGCGTGTGCAGTGGACGCGCCTACGCCGCTGCAAAAGCTCATCACCATCCTTTCCGCTAGCTTCAACATACTCTTCCTCCCTTCTGGACTCGTTATCACTGCATAATTACCGTAAAATTAAAGGACCAAATGAGCAAATTAAATACTTTTTAATTCATCCCCAATTTTTTCAAAATAATAAGAACAGCAACCGTGATTCATACCGGAAAGATCACCCGCCGGAATGTTACTAGCCATCGAACTCGCGAGCCGCTCGCACTGGCGTTCTAGTGTAGACACCCAACGTTTCGCACCGAAAGCTAAACCGGAATGAACCAACGGCTTATACATAGTGTGGACCGATCTATCATCCACCTCCATATGCTCTATCCATGTGACCTTCAACACAAAATTAATAATCACCCCGTCACTTCTCTGAGTTTCAAATTTTCACCTAAAACTTCATTAAAACTTAAATAAAACCGTTTATGTCTTCTTCCTTTACCTTAGAATAACCGTTGGGCAGTTCTTGAATCAGACAACCTGAAGGCCTTCTTCTGGTTCTTGAGATCGGATTCGGTCTGAGGCTATCCAAAGAGACATCAACCACAGCCCAAGAACCGTCGCTGTGCTGTTTACAGTATCTCACAAAGTAGTTCTCACGCGTCGGGACTAACGGTGACGGAACTTGAAACTCAGCCGTCATCTTCACAAACCGGAAACAAACACAAACCAGACCAAAAGAGCACGATTACTACACGATTCGGTTTGGTTTCTTGAGAAACAAGTAAGTAAGTAATAAACATACCACTTGCAAAGCACCATTGTAGTTCCCAGCAACTCCAGTCGAAAGAACTTCAAGCGTCAAGGCTCTTGACACAATCCCAGAGAAAACACAAGACCATTGGTTCTTTATTCCCACATCAAAAGAAGAAGAAGATCAAAGTGTTAGGTCATTACTAGGTTTTAAAAAGATAATGAATAAAACTTAACGACCAAGAAACAGTTTGACTTAAGTTACCACATCCATGAGAATCTCGACGAGATTGATGTGATTCATTATGACAACCGCGGATTCTCTGGACGCCTCTGATCTCAACCCTAACGGCTTTGGTCCGATGCCTCTCGGAAACGCTCTGAAATACTCTTCTTCGTTGAGAATCTCGACCGAGTTATCGGCTGAAACCCATAAAGGATCCCCGGCTTGAGCCATCCTCACGAGTTCCTCCATAGCTGCAACCGCTAGCTCGACGATCATAGGCTTATCGGTCTCAGAAGGGATCGAAACCGACCTCAGAATGTCCCCTGTTCCGTACATTTCCCCTACAAAACCTGCTTGGTTCCCAAAGTTGCCGACTTCAAGATCGAGCGAACGAGGAGGCGCGTGGATCGCTAGTGGAGCGAAAGATGATCCTAATGGCTTCCCAACGTATTTGGCAGCGATCGCAGAAATCCTATCAATCTGTGTAGATCAAATCGTAACAGGTTATCAGATTCATTACGATATAAACAAGCCTTAAACAGTTAGTTACATGATCGAACGTACTCGTTCGTAATGATACGTACGTGACTTTTCATCGTTACCCTTTAGTCAAAAAAAAAAAAAAAAAAACTACCTAATCGTATCTTATAAGTGACGATGAACATACACACCTGTTGACTTTAATATATACTTATTTATGTAAATTAGACCAAACTCAATAACAAAAACTAACACTTATGTCACATGCATGTGTGTAATGTACCTCTTCACGGAGACGAGCATTTTCGATCCTAAGATGCTGTTCGTCGAAGGACATTTCACCGATAGCAGCTGGACCGCCACAGTTAGGGCATGTAGCATTGCTTAGAGCTTCTTTGTATCTATTGTTCTCTGCTCTTAGCTTGTCATTGTCTGACTTAAGAATCTGGTTCTCATGCCTCTCATGTTGTGCCTTTAGAATATTAAACCCAAACCCAAAAAAAAAAGTGAGAAATATAAGTTCCATTAATGTTTGATTGATATAAAAGTAGTTAACTATACAATAACTAATTTTCACTATAAGAAAATTTATTATTCGTTGATGGTTACATATATTATATACCTTCATTTGTGTGCGTTTGTTTTGGAACCAAAACTTTACTTGAAGAGGCTCTAAAGCGAGATCGCGGCTCAACTCTTTCCGTTGCTTATCATCTGGATGAGGGCATTCCTTAAAGAACCTGTTAAAATCCGAAAAGCTCAAAATGTAAAATGTTTTTCAAGTTATTGTGATATATGTAGCTAGAGCTTGAGGTGCTGTTTCTTACGATTCAAGCTCTTGAATTTGACGTTGCGTGTGGCGATGGTAACGCTTCTTTTTGTTGGGACGTTGGTTAGGATCTTGAAGCTCTTCACCGGAAGGATTCTCGGTGGTGACTTCGGTGCCTGACTTGGTCTCGAAATCATCTTCTCGGCTTCCGGTGATCCCCAAGTCGTTGTCGGATGTACTCTTTTGGGTCATGTCGAACATATGATGGCTTTCAAACATGTTTGGATGATACATTGTGATGGAGATTGATTCTGATCACTCAAATGGATTTTGTTTTGTTTTGGTTGTGAACCTTGGTTTCCTTCAAATCTTCAAGGTTGTGATCACAATCATTTTCTTGATTTGATTTTCTTCTCCAAGTATCTCTTCCACTACCCAAAATCAAAATCAAATTAGTTAAAGATTGTATTCGAAATGGTCCCTTATATCTAAATGGATTGAAAATGAGGGAGATCATTATCTAAAATGGAAGAAAATAATGATGTTAATGGAAAGTAATTTTGAGGTATTATTATTAAACTAAATTTAACTTTGATAAATAACTTTATCATCTTAACAGGGCACTAACCGTTAATTATCAAACAAAAGATGTATCGGGTTTCCTACCTTTTTATTTATACACTTACTCTAGATAAATTAAAACATTCATAAATATGAAAAGTCTAACTTTATTACTTTACAGAACATGTAATTACTAAGTTATGAGCATTATCTCAGATGTTAATAGTAGAAAAATCCAGACATAAATAAAATGAAATATTTGGATAATTATATATATATATATATATATATATATATAGATCCAAAAAATTGTTTTTAACCAAAAATTATAGAAGATACACCACTTCTCTTCAAACTAAAGAAGACCGATAATGACAAAATTGTGCCACAGCCACAACAGGCATGTATGTTTTACATAAAAAAAATCCTTTACTTCATAACATAACATAGAAACTATCATCATGATAATGATCTACTATATTATTTGTAGAAAAATATGATATACTAGACTATAGGAGGAAACATTTATATAGACCCAAATTAAATAATATATTTTAAAAAGAAAATTAGTGAGACAAAGACCATATTTCTTCTAACTTAAGATCGATGAGTCGATCGATAGTACGTGTATACGCATATATACAAATATATATACATGCACACTGAAACATATATGTGAGTGAATCTATCTCCGAGTGTGTGTGCATAAAAAAAACAAAAAGAAAACCAATCTTCTAAGTCACAAGGCGTCTTATAGCATCAGATCTATCAAACAGATCTGACGGTGAAGGAAGAAGAGAGAGAGAGAGAGTTTATGATCTTTAGCAAACCCTAATTTGGAGTAAGATCAGAAATGAAAAGAAGAACACTTATGTAGCTTAAATACTTACGCAATTCGGTCTGAAACTGAGTTCTTTGCAACGTTTTGAAACCCTAAAGATAGATCTCTTTGTAGTTATTTTATTTCTTTTTCCCTTTGGTTGGTTGAAGTTTTGGGTTTGAGTTTAATGATATTTTCTCTCTTTTGTCGACTCAAAAGCTAGTAAGAGAAGAGAGGAGAGAGAGAGAAAGAGATTCACAAGTTTCTAATCTCTCAATTGAATTTATTAAAGAATTAAATTGACCTCGGTCTTTGTGCAGTAAAAGGAACCGTTTTCAGTATATATACTAATAAAACTAATAAAAGGCTAAATTTATTAATTGATTGAGAGATATAGATATAGGTAGGGATAGTGAATAAAAAAAAAACTGATTAGAAAACAGTATATAGTATATAGGGTTAATTAAAGCGTTGACAATAAGTCAATGGCCTTTTTTGGTGACACAACCAACCAAGTAGATTTCGTCAAACCCCTTTAGAACTTATAACTCCAAGAAAGTTTATAGTAACGCTTTCTAGATTCTTAGATCATATAAGTCTTCGCTAAAAGACACCAAGACATTAAACTAATCTAAACTAAATCTAAAAAATGAACACAGGAAGATAGGCCTCGAGTTTTGGAAAAAACAAAAAAGAAGAAGAAAACAGATGGAAAGATCTGAAGAAATTCTCAGGCAACATGCAATACATATGGACCCGATCTATAAACATAATTAAGTACATAACCTAATCCTAATATACATACACACAAATGCATACATTATACATATATGCGTATATATACATATATATATAAATAGAGAGAGAGAGAGAGAGAGAGAGAGAGAGAGAGAGAGAGAGAGAGAGAGAGAGAGAGATCTTACGAAAATAAAGATTTTCCTTTTGGAGACACAATGAAACCCTAACTCAGAATGATCTTTGATTTGTGCCAATTTTTCTTGAGGATAACAGAAGATCCGAGATAGTGATAAAGAGAAGTAGAAGGATTATTTGCTAGGGATCTGGCTAACCGGTCGGTTACCGGAAACCCCGGTTTTGCTTGGATAATCTTAAACCAGGGGAGAGCTATAAAAAAACAATGGAAATTTTGTTGAAGAAGGAGAAAGAGGGGAAGAAGACAAACGAGCGAGGAAGAAAGGGAACAGTTGGATTTGCAAGAGGAAAAAGGAGTTATTGCTGAGCGCATAGAGAGGGTGCAATGCATTTATGAATATCTAAAGCTCCATTAATGCTCTAGTGAGAGAAACTTACTCTTACTTTGTATATATATATATATCAAGACAGATAGGAGAGTTTGAGTTCATATAAGTAAATAAAACACAGAAGTATTTAAGAATTTACTGTTTTTCTTTCACCGATCCTGGTTTCTCAATTCTTGAAGCTATTATATAGGTAAAAAAATAAACCATCAGATTGAAAAGAATAATCATTTCTTCTACATGTAAATGTGTTTCTTTGGCTTCCGGTCCATACTAATGTGTAAATGTATCTGTTACCAACCCATCCTCTAACCTCTATAGTCTATAACTACAACAGCGCATGAGTTAGGTTAAACAAAGGTTTTTTTGTCATTACGTGGTTTTTATGTTCTCAAAATTTAGATTGTTTTGTTTGTATATGTAGATCAATTAGATACTTATATATATATATATGTGATTCCTATATACTGTATTGATTATCGAATGTGTATGTGTATAAATTTATGCATGAATACATAAATGATTTTGTATTAAAGCTACTAGATAACATTGTATGCAACAACTATTTCTAACTAAAACGATGTCAATATCAATGGGATAAAAAAAAATCATTCATATGATAATATCGATGTGTTCTTTTTATTGATCATCAATTTGGACGGTCTTCGTATCCAGAGATTATGTAAAACCGTTAATATAGTATTATTGTAACGCCCCGGACCGCCCATTTTGACGAGTCACTCATCCTTCCGTCGGGTTCATTGGCCCCACCCCTGTCCGAGGACCGGTGTGTTATTTTTTTCATAGCCCAATCCACTTATTTACTGACCCTGCAATCACCACATGATCTTTTTCCGTATTTTGGCTTCACTTACACGGTTTTGAGAATCAATTCCCGAAATGTCACCCATCTTAGTCCTACTCTAGCATAAACACTCTTAACTGTGGAGTTCTTTTGGAACCAGTGACCGAAAAGATAAGTGCACTTTGATGACATAGGTAGCCAAATCAATCCATTTAAACTTATTTAATGGGCCGAACCCGGGTCGTTACAATTATGATACATACTTTAAACATTCATCAATCATCTGAGAATTTTTTAAGAGTTTGAGTTGAAAATTTTGTTAATCTAAATAAGTCGGAAGTCTATTCTATCATAGAATCTTCGAAAATGAACACATTTCGCATAATCTTTAATGTATTTGGAAGTTTACAAATTAAAAATGATTAGTTTTATTTCATAAAAACTGACACACTATGGAGTCAAGGTAAATGTTATCATGAAGACAAAATACTAGCTAATTAAAAAAGTATAATGTGGAAGATCGTAGTTAATTAATTACATAGTGTTGATTTAGTTAATGACATAATTAACATCGAAGACAATATGAGGCCATACTTTATGTGTTTCATGTATTGAAGGCAACAAAACATATTGTAGGCTTTGTAGCAGAACCTATTTATAAATGAAGCTGAATAGTAAGGATTACTAGAGTATGTAGATCCTTTATTTTAATTAGAGATGTTACCACGCTGCGCGCAGATTATTTTCATAAATATTAATTATTATTTTAGTATTTTAATTATAAATTAATATTTTAAATATAATATTTAATTTTAATATTATTTTGATATGGTCATACATCTAAAAGATTTTAACGTATTTGAAAAATATATTATGATTTAATTTAAAAATTAACTAACTTGATATATGTGAAAATTAATCGTTAATATAAAACTTAATATTTACATATAAACTCATTACTGCTCACCAACTTCCAAACTATGATTAAAATTAATTTTGTTTTAACTAAATTTGATATATAATTGAACTCAACAACTATAAGTTTCCTCTTTATTTAATTCAAAACATTTTTTTTTTTCATTTAAAAAAAATTACATATCAAACATATGGCTACAATTGAAACACCTATATTTAGTTCCAATTAATTTAGATATCTTTTCACTTGAATTGTGTTCACTGTAATGGATTTTTTTATGAGCAGTATTAAATATAAAACAACAATTAATGTTCAAAATTCTTACAAGTCCGTAAAAGAACTATTGTTCATATAAATAAAAATAATATTTACATATTATACAAAATCACAATCATATTGATAAACTGTATTTTTGATTTGGTCTCTGAAGTATCTATAAACTATAGTAGTGTAGATGAATAAAGCAAATAATACATATACGAATACATCTTCATACTAACTCATTCTATTAAACAAAAGTATGTCGAGTTTCTCAAAACTCAAAATGTGTAAAAGATTCATTTTCATATGCTTGTAATTTAACTTAGATTTTTTTTCTTACACAACATATATATATTTTGGTAAAATTTTATAATTAAATTAATAATATATATTATATTATTTTTAAAAGAGTTTCTTAACAAAAAAAAACATATTAGTTTTCCTTACATGTTGAGTTTGTAAAAAATATCTTTTTTTGTTGATGTACATGGTTAGAGAATTTTTAATGATATTTTCTTTTATATAAAATTATATATACTATTTTTAAATATGGAAGTGTAATATATTAATGTTTAATATAAAGTTATACAAGTATATTTTTACATATCCATGACTATAATGATGATTCATACTATACTGTAATTAATTTAATTTATGCTTAAAATTATTTAGCCAAAAATATAGGAATAGTATGTACATAATCATACATATTTGATGTTTTTAATTAATATGTGAACGGACTTAATACCTCATAATATTATATCTTAACGATTTTTAGTTTAAACATGTGATTATTATTAATTTGAGATGTAATAGTTTAAAATATTATATATAATATAATTTTATTTTTGTTAAAATCAAGTTATAATATGTCATATGTTTTGTTACCATAGTACATACAATTTAATCAATATTCAAATATTATTATTATTGTTAATTAACATTATTTAATTTTAAGCATATTAATAATATATTAAGAATTATTTTTATTAAAGGTTTGCTGATATGGCATGATTATAGAGATTTATTTTTTGCTGATGTGGATGGCTTTAGGAGCCCCAAACTTCTCCTTTTATTTAGTATAGATGATAATTTTGAACTTTGAGAAACACTTATTTATGATTATTTTCTTGAGTATAATTTGTCGATTTCATTAAAGGAAACAGCTACTTACAAAATGGACTAAAAAAACTGATGTCCAGAGCCAATGTCAACCTTAATAAATAAAATAAAATAAAGAGAAGATAATGAAATAAAGATCCGCGACAAAAGTAAAGTCTTAAATCCAAAAACTATTCCTCGCAAGGGGAATCCACACTCAAGTCTCAAGCTCTAAGAATCTATAACATGAACAACACACAAAAGGCACAAGACTTTTGCAAAAGAAAAGAAGGTTTATTGATGAATTATCGGTGCTGAAACAAATGAATATAAAAAAGCTTTATATAGAACTTGTACAAAGGTTGTGATGTAACCGGACAACATCAAAGAACGATCGTTTCTTCTTTGCTCTCGACGTGACCTCCAAAGACGATCGTGATCTCTCTTGTACGTGTTCTTAGGGTGTACTCCTTCATTTAGCTTGCAGCCGAAGGTACACAGTACTACTTCACAAAGCCAACTCCATCAGCATGTTCCATCACACTCCCCACGACTTGGTTGGCGAATAGTACAATGTCCACATCATGGTGTTAGATAGATTGTTCATAATTAAGGAAGGTCACGTAGCTGATTTGGTTGGAAAGCTTTTCATCAACAATGGAAACAAAGGCGGAAATTAAACTTTTCAAATGGACGATGTAGTGTTTATATGATGAAGATGTGAAGTTTGAAAGCGATTATCAAAATGTGATCCTAACATTGTATAATGCGAATGATGAATTAATGTAGTATTAATAAGGATTAATATATTACTTTTAAAATAACATAGGTTTTGTAGGGGTAATTAACACCGCATATATATATTTGTCCAGTAGCTTCGTAACCAAGTAACCATAAATAAACAAATACATCTATGTATTGCTATTCTTACATTGGAAAAGATGTATAAAATACACCAGTTTAATTTATCCAAAAAAATAATTTACCAATTTCGTCAAAAAATTTTGCAAAGGAAATGTTTTTTAAGACGCAAAACGACCGCGTACTAGTCAGTGTCCCTTCCTCACAACTGCAAACATACAAACGGCACACATTGTGCCTATGCAAGAAAATGCCATTGAGAAGTAAACTACACGTAGTTCAATAGTTTAAAACGGAAACGTTAAAGTTACGTAATTTAACGGACGTGGTAAGGGTAATTACGTAAATTAAATGGACGTCACCTTCAAATAATTAGCTAGTGGGAAAGAGTGCTACTGTTACCCACCAACAAACTCATTTATTGCCTCTATAATATTTTGTTAATTTTCTTCCGAATTTTCATATATTTATTTCCTTTTTTTCTTTCAAAGTTTCAAATTTTTGGTATAAAATTTTCAAACCATTTTCAGAGTTTCAAATTTAACTTTTCAAAATTTAAAATACATATACAGATAATTTTTTTTATTTCTATCTCTAAAAAAAACACTCCCTCTATTAAACAAAAAATGTTTAGTGTTTTCACACATATTACAGAATTTCTTAAAAATATCTACAACATTTCTTATTAATATATTAAATATATTTTCATTCTAATTAAAATAATAAAGTTAAAACTGAAATTGTATATGTTCAACGTTTTGTACTGAAAATACAAATTGGCACATAAAAGTTTCAAAGTAACACTCTTATATAATACGGAGAACTTACCAAAAGAAAAGTTTCAAGATTCTTGACTTAATTTTTTTTATTTTGCACATTTGTAGAAATCATAAATTATGTAATATTATGACGATTTTTTGTTTTAGGTATGAATAGCTAACGGACGGCTCCCACTGTCTATACCTCTTTTTGGTTACTATTTACTATTTATTAAACGAGTGGAACACTAAACTTTCTTTACAAAATGAGGAAAATATATAAAAAAAGCCATATACTGCTATGGGACCGTATCATTTAATTTTATTTAGTAACATTTCAGTTTATGTTGAAATTTATTTGGTCCCACATTTTCCAACTTCAATCTTGATTTTGTTTTTATTCGAACTTTGATTTTGTTTTATAGATAAGTTCCTTCAATCCTCTTCATTAATTTTAAAAGTGAAATTTGGAGCAAAATATGTTATACTTAGAAGTGTTATTACTAGTAAAATATAGTTTAAGAAACCTTTTTCCCCAGTAAAACAAGAAAAGAAAGAGACTACACTAAGTTACATGTTGTAGATTAATAAAAGTATATAACTACATCAAAGTACAACTTCTAAAATCCTACTTATTTTTTCCCTTTTAAAAATGCTAAAGTGATGTGACTTGGCCCAATTTTTAGATAGGTAGTAAATAATTTTGTTCTTGATATGTAGTTAGTTGTCAATTGTTTCATTTTCTAAATTTATATGCTTTAATATAGAAAATCCATTGTATAGGTAAGAGTAGCCTTGAAAATTTCAGGATTCAGAAAGGGAATTTACGGATATGGATGACAACAGAAAATTTGGGAATTAAAAAATAATTTTCATAAGGGAATTTGACAAAAATAGAATGAAAAATTACGGGTACGAGACAAAAATCTGTAGATATGGGACGGGACGGGCATCCCAAACTCTTAACTTAAAGATATATATTCTGGTAAAATTTGGGAATTTTAAAAAAAAATCGGAAAATTTCGGGATATTTTACAAGATTTGATTTTCAAGAAATGATTTGATTTTCAAGAAATTTTAGGAAATATCGGTAGAATTCAACAAAATTCAAAAAATTATGTAACTTTTTGAAATATTAAATTTTTAAACGGAATTTCGGGTTCTCGATCTGATTTCTTTACCCTTCTCTTACCCTTCCTTTAGCCGTTTAGATAAAATAAATAATTTTGAATAGGAATTTTCTTAAACGGAAAAGGGAACGAAACGGAAAATTTAAAACGGATATGAGAGAAAACCGGCTATTCGTCCCAAAATTTTCAGGGCTAGATAAGAGATTGAGTTAGTAATATACACTTCAAAAGATCAAGAGAATCTTTCACATCTGCTTCCTATCCCTTAGAAGTGCTCTCACAATTACATAACAAAATTGTTTAAACTTCAAATTTTGGTTGTTACATGTGTAAAATATTCATAAGAATGATTTGATTTTATTTAATCATCTACAAGTTCTCCCTCAGTTCCCTAATATGAACGGTATTGAATAAGTTTTGGAGGTTAAGATTGCACAAAGCCTCAAAAAGTTCTCCCTTCTCCATTAGAGGTAATTGACCAATAAATTAATGTTTTGAGAAATATTGTAAATTGACCAAGAAATTAATTTTACGACACAAGTTCACCACTATTTCACACAAATTTTCTTGCCTTTTTTTTTTTTTTTTTTGATTTTTCTTCCCTAGTTTTCTTTAAATTTACATGAAAACATTCAAGCTCCAAACACTACAACATGTCTACATATATGAAAAAAAAAAAATTAGCAAAAAATCATCCCCGTGACCGTGAGTATGGACAAAGGCGATTAAACTTCTGATTTTTTTTCTTGCACCTATTATTATATGTAATATGTTTTATATTAGTCGTGAAACAGTTGATTTATACGAAGATTTAGATAAAATAGATGATCTTGAAGATTTTGGAGATGATGATGATGAAGATGACTTTTTTCTTCTACTACTTTTCTTGTTGTTAATTTTTGGTAAATTTATCGGAGTAACTGGAGGTAGATCTCTAAGTGTATCCGATATTGTTCGTTGACTCGATCCTTGATCAAACTCTGCACATGCAAAAAGAACATAGTGTAACTAGTTTACTCTAATTAAAGAGAATAAATGGGTCAAGAAACTTGAATATCACTAATTCATCTATGGCCAATTCAAACTGTAAAGTACACAATTGCAATTAAAGAGAAAAATCAACGAAAACCAAGATAGAAAAGTAAAAGAACAAAAAATTACCAGTGGAAGAAGAAGTGAAGAAAGAAGTCGAAGGTCTTGCATTACTAAAAGATGATGCTCTTGGAGATAAAACGTCAGCTCCAACCTTAAACTCACTCATCTTCACAATAAAACAAAAAATATCAGATTAGGTCTATATATAATAATACTTATTTACATTTTTGGTTTTACTTGTTATAGTTTTCACGTGCATATATATATATTGGCCTAAAAACACGAAAAAAAAAAAAAAGAACTTACCCAACCAGGAGCACTACCTGAGGAACCCTCCCAGCCAATATGAGCCACATGTTTGACATCTGTTGGAAACCCAATTTCTATTTCATCACTCTCTTTCTCGACGGCTGAGAAAATGAAAATTAGTTTTACTTCATAATGTATATATTCTTAAAAAAATAAGAAAACATCTTTAAAACTAAATAATACATGCAACAATCTTATTTGTATTGTGACAGCCATTTAGTATAAGTGATTAAATGTTCTTGCTACATTATAAAAAAAAAAAAGCAAAACAGACTATATATGTGATAGCCATTTGGCATATATATGCAGACGCATATGATTATAGATTCAAAGTAATACTTCTCTCGTAGTATTTGTTCAAGTTTGTATTAGGTCGAGGAGAAAAATAAATAAATATATAATTAGATGAAGAGAGAAAAAAGGGTAAAGATTACCAAATATTTGAGAGATACATTTGAAGCCTTTGTAGATGCCCTTCATTTTCATTGCCATGGTGATGAGCTCACAAAATCGCAAACTTGTCTTTCGTTCCGTAAACTTGATTACCGGAAAAATATGTGAAGATTGAAGAAGCCGAATTAGAACAATCTCCACTTCAACTTTTCTGTTCCTTAGCAATCAAATAAATGTTTCAGTATTTACTATATATATATATAATATTCATATATATAAAAAGAGAGAAACAAGTATACGTAGAAAAAGATCATAAAGGAAAAAGGGTATAGAATGCATGTGATATATGCATAAGGGTTTACCATGAAACAAGATTGGAATGTATGCTTTTGTGACTAAAGCTTTTACTATAAGATCCAAACGTCAAAACTAAACTTTATAAAAGCACATTAATACATGTATTATATAATTTGTCAATATTTTAATTTCAAAAACGAATGATTTTCTAAGATGATCATCATATACTGATATACACCAACTTTGCCTAATCAAGATGTGAGCACTAAACGGAGCCAAAGTTTTGTTTTGTTGAATGTTGACAAAAAGTAGCAGTTAAAAGACTTAAGATAAATTTACCTGTAATCTAAGAAAAAATGATCAAAACAAAAACAGAAGAATAGAGAAACAGTCTCTCTTTTGATTCTATGCTTCTTTCATCTTTTGGAGAAGCCTCTCTTGATAAATCACAAAACATATTATATGTACAAAAAGAATCTTAGATGGAAAGACATAATTTCTCGCAAAATTATGAAAAAAAGAGAGTTTCAAAACGGAGAAGAGATGGTGAAGGCCAAGGAAAGAAGACGAAGAAGAAGAAGATGGAGACTCAGTCAGGGCTTAAAGTAAGAGATAAGTAAGTGGATCACCATGAAAAGGCATCTACACACACACACATATATATATATATATATATATATAGAGTTAAATAAAAAAAAATTATAATAGGAATGTTTCAAGATGCTATGTAATCACTAATCAATGATTAGTTTGTCTATATATATGACACATAGTATGAGGAGCAAATAATGATAAAATTCCCAACGCCAGATAATTAGTTTCGTAAGAAATAAACCTGAAGTGTTAAAGATTCATTATCTGGCGTTGGGAATTAATCTTGGGGGGTTTTTAGACCAATATTATTATATAGAGAGGTAGAGACAACTGTAGAAGTTTTCAATGCATGCATATTTAAATTATATTTCATCATATTTGTTGAACTCACGTTTGTCATTTTAGCTTTCTTGCAGATATAAATATCCTCACTGGACGATTAAAGACAAATCTCCTAATTAGTTTCTTTCACCAAACATACTTTCGTAATACGCATTTAGATTTTAGAATGACTTCTGTTGATGTAGACAACATTCTTAACAATTCAGTTTATATATAGTGGTGTTTTTTTTAAGAACAAAAAGGTGGTTAAAGAAGAAATACAAAAAAAAAAACAATATTTGTTTCACTCGCCCAAAAGAAGAATGCAGCACCAGGAGCAATTCTCAGTTCTATTTCTCAACCACATACATAAAACAAAATCCAAATATAACCAAAAAACAGGTAAAGTTTGATTTTTTTTCAAAGGCAAGACAATGAAACATTGACTTAGAATCGGACGACGTCTTGTAGGCAATCAAAGAAATGAGTGATCTTGATTTTCTCTCTCCCGTCATAGATAGCTTCTGCAGATCCACCGTGTTCTCCTTGCGCCGCCATCTCGATTAGCATGTAAAGCTTCTTTATTGGCATCTGCTCGAGAAAAATGTATATAAAATCGTATTAAGACATATAATATAAAACGTTTATAGGTAACATTCATTTCTGGTAAAAACTATGTTAGAAACATACGTCATCGAGAGCCTCCGCAGCTGCTTCGACATCATCCTCTGAGAACACGTTAAGCTGCTTCAGCACCTGAGAAAAACGAAAAACGAAGAATTAAACCAGTTCAAGAATCGATAATTGATGGGCAATGGGAAGACTCAAGAGTATTATCGTGATTAAGAAACACAGATGGATGCTGATTTTTCAGTGTAGAATTGGAAATACAAATTCAACAGTTCATAGTCGATGAAATATACGAAGAAGAAAATGAGTTGCTTAAGAGAATTTTACCTTCTTTGCGTCATCTGTTCTTAGTGTTGGAACAGAGTAAGTCACAGAGAAGGACTCACATATACCAACAGAATCTAAGAAGGTCAGTTGACTTGTTGTCCCAAAGACGAGAAGTTTCTTCCCCTGTCAACAAAAGACCTTACCAAATTACAGATGTGTGACTGTAACATTATAACTTGTGATGATCAAAGTCTGTAAAATTATGTTTGACAATCGAGGAATATGGATAAGAAATAACAAAATGGCCAAGGACGCACCTTAGGAGGAAGTCGTTTAAGAAGGACCATCAACGTCTGAGAAATTATGTTTGAAAATCGAGGACCGATTGCTACGTACTCCAACAATCTGCAATATCAGAGTAATGAGCTGAAGAAAGAAACTGCAAAAAGTATGCTATGAGCTTACTGAGGCAAGTCTTGAAAAGAAACAAACAGCGTGTATGTAACAACCTTTCGATATCATCAAGGATAATAATGCTCATTGGTGATTTATATGCATCCTCAAAGACCTGGTTTCATTTTACACCAAAACCGATTTGTCAGTAAGACGAACAAAATAGCAAGAAGTAGCGTATTACCAAACGACATACCTTTACAATGTGAGCACACTTTGTGCTCTCATGAAGACCAATCATAGTTTCCGCAGAGACCTACAACATAGCAAATCAATATCACACAAAGAGAAAAGGATGGTAAGGTCTAGATATGTCATACAGAGAAAGATGGACACTTACTATCTTAACATATGGGAAGTCACTATCGATACCAACAGTTGCAGCTAAAGCAGTTTTCCCACTGTCCAGAAAAAAAAGTGTTTAAAAATCCAGCAAAGGCTTACAAAACAGCAAAGCCAAAAAAAAAAGTGTGGTTTAGTAAATAAGAAAGATACCTTCCACTGGGACCCTCCAGAAGGCAAGTGACTAGAGGACTTCTAGTGCTAACTTTAACTTGCTCGACCAGAAGCATAGCTCTTTTGTAAATGTGATTATGCCGATCACCAGAATCCACCATCCCATTGAGTCTACATACATGCCAGATATATGTAAATTAAGGCACTAACAAATAAAAATCCAGAGGTATTGAAATACATACACGTGTGCCAAATGGTCGATGAATACACGATTGGCGTGGAAAGAAATGAAACAACAACAAAATTACCAGAGAGCAGTTTAGATCAACTCCAAACTAACCCATTCCAGAGTTTCACTATAATTACAGTTTCAGAAATCCATGGAATTATCTAAGATATAAGAAAAGCAGTCCCTAAGTAACAGAATTTAGAACTGCAGTTTCAGAAGATGACTCACATGAGTGAAGAGAATCAAGTTTCGCTTTGAAACTAATCTCAGCACATCTAATGTGCAAAAGACCCATTCCATCAAGAAATACACAAAATCGTCCAGACCACCACACGCTTATTAGAGAAAATTACCTGCAGCGCTCCAGGTCATCTGTGGAGGCTCCGAAGGCAGGCTGAACTTCATATATTGCGTGGAGAAAATCCTCCATAGTGATCTTGATATTTTCTTCTTCCACTGGCTTTGTAAGATCATCCATGCTTAATTGTCTGTTTAAGGCATATGATGTAGCACTTTTAACAACACCTTCAAGCTCTGCACCACTGTAATTTTTTGTTCGAGCAGCTGCCAGACAATTTAATGTCAGCAACACATTTATGCTAGTAAGTAACTAGTCAAAGATAAAGACTGAATTTCTTAGATCTACTTAATACAAAATACAAGAGGGTTTAAAAAAAAAAATTATTTCTAGTGTTCAGTGAGGTGGTGATACTGCAATTACAGAACAGGACTACCAAACATTCCATTTGAACAAGTATAATCTATGAAGCCATACCAAGCTCTTGGAGATTGATATCAGGACCAAGGAAAGAGTTTTCCTTCATCTTGTTTGTATGAATCTGAAGAATTTGAAGACGCCCAGCTTCATCAGGAAGGCTTATCTCAACTTGAACCTCCAATCTTCCAGGCCTATAGTTTTAAAAAATAATGGTCTGAAGTCCCATGTACTACTCATTCTAAAAGTTTCATGTAAGCAGCATATACACTTTGGATGGTTACTACTCAAATGAACAAATAACGAAAATTAAGATACAAAAACTACTTCAAAATCTTCCGTTATGTAACTGGGGTATAAAGGAAACAGCAGCGCCATCTATTAGCACAAGGATAGAGATACCTTAAAAGAGCTTCATCAAGCAAATCCTTTCTGTTTGTCATTCCGATAAGCAAAACATTGTTCAAGGCCTCCACACCATCTATCTGGAAAAAAAGTGTTAGCCACGTCCGAGAAAACTCTGAATTAACAGATGATAGGTTAATCTTTGACTGACCTTTGTCAAAAGCTGGTTTACAATACTATCATGGACACCTGTGCCATCTCTGGTGGAGCCTCTCGACTGAAAATTACAAAGCATACAGCATATCCCATGAAAATCAATATCTAAAGTCCAGAGCAAAATATAGTCACAAAACAGATCTATTACCCGGAATCAAAGGAAATTAAAAGCATCTTACAACATCAAAATACAAAAATTATCTCCTATAAATTAAAAGCCGTGTACCTTACAAATAGCATCAATTTCATCAAAAATAATGACATGCAACTCACTAGCATCACCTGAGAAGAAAAATCATAGGGCTCAATTAGCATATGCGTAAGAAAAAAGAAAAAACACAAAAACGCAGATCAGGGTAAACAAATTTTCCTTACCAAGGGTCCTCTGGTCTTGCTCAGCATCAGCAAATAAGTCGCGTACATTTTTTTCTGTCTCACCAACAAACTTGCTCAGCACCTCAGGACCATTAACGATCTATTATGACAGCAAAAGAACAACAGAAGCATTAAATAGCCGATTTCTGGAACAAATGCAGTGAATCAACTAAGAAACTAAATTAATCAAACATTAAAAGAAAGTAGATTGTAACAAGCAATTTAAACAGAGCCTGAACCGAAGCTGCCAATATATGAAGATTATTGTCAGAATGAAACAGTGAGTAACAGGTTCCCGCAAAGGTGTCGATCTAATCAGAGTAACAAAATTCATAACGGGCAATTAGAAATACCTTTGGGTCCTTTCCATTCAGCATCTTTCCAATTTGACGAGCCATCAGGGTTTTACCTGTACCAGGAGGTCCAAAAAGAAGCATCCCCTTAACGTGCTTTATCCCCAGTCTAAGATCACGAAAGATAAACTTAGAAGGACAATATATACAGATTACAGTCTAACATTTGCTTATAGATTGAGTTACAGAACCTGCTCGTAACATGAGGAGGAAATACACGAGAAGCAAAAGCTCTTCTAAAGATGTCAGCAAACTCTGCACCCAGACCACCTATGCCCAGCGACTCGAGGTTAAATTCCTTATGTTTAAATATATTGCTGCTAGCAGCTTCCCGTTGGTTAACAATCTGCATTAAGAACGTACAAATTAAATGTGATGATACAAAGTAGGCCTACGGGTCCTGAACTTCTTTTCGCAGTTCACATATGTTTCCATAAAATAAAAAGCATCAGATATGATACTATGTTTACTAATCAATTGTAAGATTGAATCATCAATTAGATAGGATTTCTTATAGTAACTGATTTAACAACACATAGCTCTACAGAACTTATCAAAATCAGACCTTTATGCCACTTGAGTTTGATGCTTCAAACACAATATATGTGTCATTAGAGAGCATCCCTCTTTCGATGCCATTAGATTGATTCTGGCCCTCTACATCCGCTCGATTGACCGTAAGAATGTAGTTAGTTCCATGGTATTCAAATGTCGCTTTCTGGCCAACAGTCAAGATCTGCAGCAGTGTGCATTGTTTCAATCAATCAGGGCTAATATGATTACATGAGGAACTACAGCCCAATTAACCATATAAATGATACCACAGTCTAGAAGCACATGGATAGATAGCCTAAAGCAGAATATCACAGGATTCACAACAAACCAATGCTTCAACAAACCAATGATGCAAGTACACATTGGAAATGCATCCAGCTAATCGTTTAGTCATCATCGTTTTTATCATTTTCCTCTTAGATGCATGCTTAAACCACAAACACGAGACTCGTGTATCTTTAGAAACCAAACATGTAACAAGACCAGAGGCAGCAAAACAAGAGTCTCTTTACCTGGTTGGTGTATTTCCTCTTAAGTTGAGTTGAAAGAAGAGCAGCATCAACCTGTGAAATAATATTGTCGATAGAAGTTGAGTTCAATCATAGCTTGCAAAGATCCCAAGAAACACATGATAGATATCAACAAACCTGCTCGCTTTTAGTCCCTTTCTTAACAAATTCTAACTCGAGCGTCAGCATAGCTAGCTCGAAATTTTCTGGAGGAACAAATCTGCAAGAACAATGCAGTCTTTAGCAAACCACCAAAAAGTTCTGAGGCAAGAAGATTGTGGCAAGAAGCTGAATGAAAATGACCTGCTAACAGATACCATGTCACCAGTCGAAACTCTAGCATGCCGTCGTTGAATTGCATTCAGAGCAATATTTCCATCACGGATGCTTCCATGTCCAGTAATCACCAGTTAAGTTCACAAAAAGGAAAAAGAACACAGCATCTCGAAGTGAATAACACAAGGGAACAACAAAGCTCAACATTCCTCAAACGAAGGACAATTTCAACAGTTAAACACTCAAGTAACCCAGATTTTAATCATCCATGAAACCTATAATAGCCAAAATTATACTTGAACCAAATTAAATTGGCGGATATCCGATTTCCCAAAACCGATTCGGAAAATATAGAAAGAAATGTGATCTGTACTTACAAAATTGGGCCATTTCACATAAACAATCAGCTCACGATATCGCATTTCGCATTGCAAATGTAACAAATGGATCGTCAAATAAAGAGCAAAAGGTTAACAGAGAAAAGGATATCAGAGCGATAGTATGAAACTATCGGCGACGTTGGCGAGGAAGAGATCGGAACCGGGAACGGAGAACTGACGGAGATCGGAAGAGGAGCAGTAAGCGAGGTTAGTGAAGGCTAGATCTGCCGATGGGGTATTGGTCACCGTCATCGTCATGACCTGCGATCCGAAACGACCTGCCATGGCTGTTTCGATCTCAGGCGTTTAGTGTCTTTTGATTTTGAATCCTTCGCGAGGAAGAAACTGAGCGACGAGAAGAAGAAGAAGAAACAGATGACGACGAGATTTGAATATTATTTCGTCTATGAGATCGTGAATTTTATGTTAGTCGTATTATTCTCCTGTAATCTTGAATTCCTTTTATTTCTACTACTTTTTCTTTTGATAATATACTACTTTTCTTGTTACTTTACTGTCAAAAACAAAAATTTCATAAGATTATATATGAATCTAATTATAACGTTCATGCCTCTAAAAAAATTCCCTCAATTCTATCACCAATTTTACTCATTTATAAATGGATTGACAATTTATTTATCCCTCAAAAATTTCATATAACATTAATTTATATGAAAATAAATTTAAAAATTTAATTTAATAAAAAATAGAACAAACTTTAAGTTTTGTATATATTTCACAGATATTAAAAAACAATAATGATCTATATTATCAGTTACTTTTTTTTTACTTTTTTATTTAATATTTTTATTAGTTATTTGTTTCTTATTTCATTTAGTTTTAAAAAGAAAAATTAAATAATAAAAAGAAAAAGCTACAAAAAGTTTCTTATAATATAAAATATAATAAATATAATCTAAAAAATCAATTTATTAAAAAAACAAAACTTAAAATATCAAATAATAAAAAATGAAAATAGTACTATATGAAAATTCTGAAAAAATATGTCGTTAACCATTTATAAATAGTAGTGATTAAATAAAGATTAGTTAATATTTTTAAGTTTTTCTCCATCAAAAAGTTTGAAATTCAATTTTTAAATAATATTATTTTTTATAGATTAATATAGTAAAATTATCGAAAATATATCATGATTGTCAATGATTTGTTTTAATCGTAAATTCTTTTTATTTATTGTTAGGAATAAAATATAAAATAGCTAACTCTGTTAATTAAAAATATAAATTAGACAAAATTTGGCATTTGATTAATATTATGTAGTTTTTTTTTTATTAGTAAAAACTTGTGAATTCGTTTGTGTTAAAAATGTCATTTCACAAATTGTGTGGAAATATGAAAAGACATAAAATCTGAATTTTAGTTATTTTTTTACATCAAAGCTATAAAATACTGAATTGATAATAAATTTAATAATGGAAAAAACTAATAAAATAGAGGAAGTCACCACGGTGGTCTGATCAGTCTCAGGGCGTTGTTTTGTTTTTTCTTCATCCCGGCGACGACTGTGACGCAAACCCTAAACAAAAAGAAAAATTGATTTTGGGTTTTGGATTCGAGTTTTTGGAATTTTCCCCGCACTAAGTATTGTTAACCCCACTAACTCTTTGTCCCTCTCTCTCTCTCTACGCACAGTGCTTTCTGTCGCCTTCAGTCGCGACTTTTTTGTCACTCTGATTTTTATAAAGATTATTAGGGTTTTGTTTGCTTTCTCGCTGACATGAATCAGCAGCTGCCGGAAGTTTCCTTGGGTAATAGCGGTGTAGGCAACAACATCGAGGCTCCTGCTACGGAGGAAGGAGAAGAAGAAGAAGTACAGCAGCAGCAGCAGCCGCAACAGGTGGAGGAGGCTGAATCTAGAGATCTAATCGTCGCCGAGGAGAAACCTTCATCAGAGAAATCAGCAGACGGAGAGAAAGAAGACGATCAAATGGAGGTTGATCCCGTGAGTCCGGCCACAGTTTTCTGCGTCAAGCTTAAGCAGCCCAATTCCAATCTGCTTCATAAGATGAGCGTCCCTGAATTGTGCCGTAACTTCAGGTCTCGACTTTGCTTCTTTCTCCGATCCTCCAGTTTTTTTTTTTAAATTCAATTTAACTCATCAAATCCTTCAATTTTTCCCCTTTTTGTTTGGCAGTGCCGTTGCGTGGTGTGGCAAATTGAATGCTATTGCCTGCGCTTCAGAAACCTGTGCGAGGATTCCGAGGTTTGTTTTCTGTTTCTTCAATCGTAGAGATGAAAGTTCTCATTTTTTCGTCTTTCACTCTCTCCTCATCTCTTGCAGCTCCAAGGCAAACCCACCCTTTTGGATCCCGATACATATCTTGATACCGGAGCGTCCAACTGAGTGTATGGTGTTTAATGTTGTGGCAGGTAACTTTCCCATTAGTGAAGCCAGAGTTTTGATTTCTTGTAGACTCTCTCCTCGTGACAGAGATAATTATAATGCCATTTTGTGTTTGTAGACTCTCCTCGTGATTCTGTCCAATTTATCGAATGGTCTCCCACTTCATGTCCTCGTGCGTTACTCATTGCCAATTTTCATGGAAGGATAACTATCTGGACGCAGCCTACTCAGGTAAGTGCTCCTGATCACCGAGATTCACGTGTATAATTCTTCTGTATCCTATTGTTTCACCTCCGTTGATATTTTGTGTGGATTGGTCTTGAAGGGTTCGGCGAATCTAGTGCACGATGCTACCTCCTGGCAATGTGAGCATGAATGGCGTCAGGACATTGCTGTTGTTACAAAGTGGTTGGCGGGGGCTTCTCCGGTATGCTATTTAAGTGTTTAGTTATTTGACATTCTATCATTTGAGAGTGGGGAATGGGATTGTTAGATCGTGAGATGTCTCTACGTCGTGGAAGAAATGAGTTGGGTATAGCTTTGTTTGCGAAATTAGTAAGACTCCTAAAATATCTTCCAATTGCATTATTCAGATGCGTTTCTGTAATGGTCACCATGAACTCATAAGGAATAAGTAATGGATAGATGATACTGCCATTGCAAAGTACATGTTCTGAGGGGCGAATATAATACCTATCAGTTTGCTGCTCTAGCTTTATCCTAGGAAATTGATTCTGTTTATGTTTTTTCTTCAAAATCAGTATAGGTGGTTGTCCTCCAAGCCAAGTTCTGGTACTAATTCAAAGTCAACATTCGAGGAGAAATTTCTCTCGCAGAGCTCCGAAAGCTCAGGTTTTTTCTTCTTCTCGCCTCTTGTATCCTAGTTATTATTATTGATATATTTAGAACTGTGCACTTAACTATGTCAGTTTCTTTGACACACCTATATATGTTACAAGATCAATGCAACATGTTGTGCTTTCCATGTTTTGGCATTGGTGCGTTTTCCTTCGCTTTCTGTGACCGTTCTGATTATTGACCATTTGTTGCAGCTCGGTGGCCCAACTTTCTCTGTGTATGCTCTGTCTTCTCATCCGGCTCTGTTCAACTTCATTGGTCCCAGGGAGGCACTGCACCAAAGTGGTTTAGTACAAAGAAAGGTCTTTTAGGTGCAGGCCCTAGTGGGATTATGGCTGCTGATGCTATCATAACGGACAGTGGTGCCATGCATGTAGCAGGGGTTCCAATTGTAAACCCCTCAACAATTGTAGTATGGGAGGTGACTCCTGGCCCTGGAAATGAACTCCAGACGACTCCAAAAATCTCTACAGGCAGTCGTGTGCCACCATCCCTTAGTTCGTCGTCTTGGATAGGCTTTGCTCCTTTAGCTGCTTACTTGTTCAATTGGCAAGAATACTTGATATCCGAGATAAAACAAGGGAAGAAGCCCACAGATCAAGAAGCCACTGATGCTATATCACTTAGCTGCTCGCCGGTTTCCAATTTTTCTGCTTATGTAAGTCCAGAGGCTGCAGCTCAGTCTGCAGCAACCACGACATGGGGATCTGGAGTTACTGCCGTTGCTTTTGATCCAACTCGTGGTGGTTCAGTGATCGCAGTTGTTATAGTTGAGGGTATTGTTCTCATCCTTTTTGAACCTCAAACATTTTGAGTTTTATGCTGAGTTGTTGACCAATCATATAGAAATGATCATGTATTAAAGAGCTGAACTGCCATATGAAGAAATGCTTTTCTTTTTTTTGGGGTGGTGAAGCACAACAAGTTCACTCTGTTTTTTTTTTTTTTTTTTTTTTTTGATAAATGCTAACTGAATGCCTCTGCCTTTCATGCTCCCAAGATTCTTAATAATAGTTACCTTCGTCTGCAGGGCAGTACATGTCCCCGTATGATCCAGATGAAGGTCCTTCAATCACAGGCTGGAGAGTACAGCGCTGGGAATCAAGCGTTCAACCTGTTGTACTGCATCCGATATTTGGAAACCCAAGTTCGAACTTTGGTGGACAGGTCCCCACACAAACTGTCTGGGTATCCAGAGTGGATATGAGCATACCACCTACACAAGATTTTAAGAACCATCAAGCAGCTGCCGCAGGACCAAGTAATGCACAAAAGGAGCCTGATTCTGGTGATTACAAGGCTAACAAGGTTGTATTTGACCCTTTTGATTTGCCAAGTGATATTCGTACACTTGCACGGATTGTCTACTCTGCTCATGGTGGTGAAATTGCGATTGCTTTTCTTCGCGGCGGAGTACATATCTTTTCTGGTCCAACATTTTCACCCGTTGAAAACTATCAAATAAATGTTGGTTCAGCAATTGCTGCACCTGCGTTTTCTCCTACAAGCTGCTGCTCAGCTTCTGTATGGCATAATGCTGACAAGGACTGTACAATGTTGAAAATCATCCGTGTTCTTCCTCCTGCCCTCCCACGTAACCAATCAAAGGTTGATCAATCAACATGGGAACGGGCGATAGCTGAGAGGTATGTCATCTTTTGTATATATTGTCTAGTCTGCTTGCTTGCAGAGGAGCTTCTATGGTTGAATTACATGTGGATATCACGGTGCACTTTGTTTGAACAGGTTCTGGTGGAGTCTTTTGGTCGGAGTTGATTGGTGGGATGCAGTTGGCTGTACACAAAGTGCTGCAGAGGATGGCATTGGTATAGTTTGTGGTTCTCATTTGTTTCTTAATTTCAATGCTGTTTAATCATTGCGCTCAGAAATGAGTTTATTTTTTCAGTTTTGGAATAACCACTGCTTATTTTTAAAGTTTGGCGGTGACTCCTAATTTTTAATAGCTCAATGTCATTTATAGAACCTAGGCTTGAATGATATAGAACGTAGTGGTGTTATCCTGTCTTGTTTGAATGATATACGGATGACACGTTTCGTTTTCTTGATGATTCCAGTTTCACTGAACAGTGTGATTGCTGTCATGGATGCTGATTTTCACTCCCTTCCTTCAACACAACACAGACAACAATATGGTCCTGTATGTTTTTCTAAACTCGTACCCAACTCATTTATCTTCTCTCCTTATGGAATGTTTGAATTGTTTTGTTGGCGGTAGCATTCGTTATGTTTTCATAAGATTTGGTTTAACAATATGGTTGTCTGTTTTTTACTTGGTTTTTTAATATAAATTATCTGTATAAAGCTACTGTAGATTACATGAGCAAGTAGACCCTATTTTGTGTTGGTTCTTTAATTGCATTAAAAGTTAGTGTAGCTTTATACAGCTACATTACAAAAAGAGAAAAGAAACAGGGAAAAAGAACAAACTCCCCGTAGTTATCTGATTTTGGATTATTTGAGTAGTCAATATGGATACAATGCATCGGATTCGAAGACGCTGAATAGAATCTTCGCAGTATATTGTCCTCTTATGATGCTGTGTGTTTTACTTTCTTTTGCAGTTTTGGTCGGTTCCACTGTTTAGTAAGAACTTGTATTTTTATGGTTTTCAGAATCTAGACAGGATCAAATGTCGGTTGCTTGAAGGAACCAATGCTCAAGAGGTTCGTGCCATGGTTTTAGATATGCAAGCAAGATTGTTACTAGACATGCTTGGAAAAGGAATTGAATCAGCTCTTGTCAACCCTTCGGCGTTGGTTTTTGAGCCATGGCGATCAGATGGGGAGACAATATCAGGCATTAATCCCGAGGCTATGGCTGTTGATCCTGCTCTTGTTTCCAGTATTCAGGTATCTCTACCTCCAAGTCCGAGGATGGTGTTTCAGTTTTCTTTTATATATGAAATATGGAAATTTAAGGATGAAAATCTGGGAAGGGTTCATGCAGTGTTTTCATTTAAATAGTTGTCGTTCTTTGCTGTGTTAGATTTGCGGATGTATCTTACTTTTTACAATCAGCCAAGACACGCTTTATTTTATATCAGATTCGGTTATTTTGCAATATACAATTTAAGTTATCGAATTATGCTAGAGGTTGTTCCATGAAGTCGACATAGCATTTTCTGGTCAGCGATCACATATCACTGAATATGATTGACCACATCACTGTCCTGAGATTGTAGTTTTAGTTTCTTGTTGCTAACTTTTCCGCTTTTCTCTAATTCTTTATTCGTTTCGTGTACAGGCTTATGTGGATGCTGTTCTTGATCTTGCTTCTCATTTCATCACACGTTTAAGACGCTATGCGAGTTTTTGTCGGACACTTGCGAGTCATGCTGCTTCCGCTGGAACTGGCAGTAACCGCAACATGGTTACCAGTCCCTCACAAAATGCATCATCTCCTGCAACTCCTGCAACAACTCAGGGTCAGTATGCCGTTTATTGTCTCATGTTTAATTTGCTCCAGCATGACAAATTGGGGAAGGGTTCATAGTGGTAAAATAATATCATTGTCTTGCGTGTTGGTAACAAATATGAGATGAGCTTCTGAAGTCTAGATTTTCTTCTTGTCTGTAAACTTTAGCGTATAGTCCAGGTATTTGTTGTACATAGGTTATGGGAGGTAGAATTGGTTTTTTTGTTGTTGGGCTTGGCACGTCTCTTGTAGGGATATAATTGAGGAATATCTTTTATGTGCAGTTCTTCCTGACAAGTCAGTGAATCATGCAGCAGGGCAACCTACTACTACTGCTGCTGCTGCTACGACTACGACTACGGCTACTAATACTACTACAAACTCCAGCGGAAGCACACAAATGCAAGCGTGGATGCAGGGTGCCATAGCTAAAATTAGTAGCTCAAATGATGGAGTATCAAACTCGACTGCAAGCCCAATCAGTGGTTCAGCTACCTTCATGCCAATAAGCATCAATACGGGAACATTTCCGGGAACGCCAGCAGTTCGGCTCATTGGTGACTGTCACTTCCTTCATCGGTTATGCCAGCTGTTGCTCTTCTGTTATTTCCAGCGCTTACAAGCTTCGCGAAATGCTCAGAGACATGCTGATGTTAGTTCACAAAAACTTCAAACGGGTGCTACGAGCAAGTTGGAAGAGGTCAACTCCGGTAAACCAACCCCTGCCTTGAACAGGATAGAGGAAGCTCAGGGATTCCGGCATCCCCAGTTAGGTGCTGGAGTGAAAGGGATCGATGAAAATTCTGCCCGTACAACAAAGATGGGCTCTGGGAATGCCGGTCAAGGATATACTTTTGAGGAGGTAGGAACCTGTTTTCCTGTGTTCTCTTTACTTCTATTCAGTGCCATGTTTATAGTTCAGTAAATCTATGAAAGATTCTTTTAGTGACAGGATTAAGTTGACTAGTTACGGTTTTGATATTCCAGGTGAGAGTACTTTTCCATATACTAATGGATCTCTGCAAGCGAACCGCTGCTCTTGCGCATCCCTTACCTGGCTCTCAGGTAGGTAGTGGAAACATCCAAGTTCGACTGCACTATATTGATGGAAACTACACTGTGTTGCCCGAGGTGGTAGAAGCAGCTCTTGGACCACATATGCAGGTATTTTGTGTTTATTGTAAAAACACCAAAGCTGTTTTGTTGTTCTTGTTGAGCTCTCTCTTTCTTCCCTGATTACTCCTCATATGGATATTTGTTTTCTTGATAAAAACGGAATAAGCAGAACATGCCTCGTCCAAGAGGAGCTGATGCTGCTGGTCTTCTACTTCGGGAGTTGGAGCTTCATCCGCCATCCGAAGAATGGCATAGAAGAAATTTGTTTGGTGGTCCTGGGTCAGAGCCTGAGGACTTGGTCCCGTCAGATGATACTTTCAAGCAGAGTCATCACTTGGATCTGCCTGATGCATACAATAGAGTCCAAAATCTCTGGCCAAGAAAACGCAGAATGTCTGAAAGAGATGCAGCTTTTGGTTCAAACACTTCTCTTGGTTTGGGTGCATATCTTGGAATCATGGGTTCTCGTAGGGATGTTGTGACCGCGACATGGAAAACTGGTCTAGAAGGAGTTTGGTACAAGGTTACTCTCTTGACCATTTTTTTACCGTTGTGATGTGATTGATAAACAAGTAGAAGTTCTTCTCTGTCACACCTTGTAACATGGTTATCTTTTTGACTGCAGTGCATAAGATGCCTAAGGCAGACATCTGCATTTGCTTCACCTGGTGCTTCTAAGCAGCCAAATACGAATGAACGAGAGACCTGGTGGACCAGCCGTTGGGTTTACTGTTGCCCCATGTGTGGTGGAACGTGGGTCCGTGTTGTATAGAAGACCAAATGAGATTTGCATCTACGATATCGGTTTTGTCGAATAACCAGTAAGTTCATCTGAGCAGAGAGTCCAACCGAATCTAATGGGTTTAGCAAGTCAAAGGTTAGCTTACAGACTTGAAACCATTCACCTTAGTGCTGATTCTGTCGACACACTTCTTCTGCAAGATTCAGACAGTTTGTGTGCGACTGAAACGGGTCTTGATGTATAGTGACGTGGTAGTTTATAGGTTTGGTTCTTGTGGACTTTAAAACTATTCAGGCTACAACCTCATTCTTTGATTTCTCAAAAGGGATGCAGTAGAGAGCATAATGATGGTGTAATTGAGTTATTAATTAATGATGGTGTAATTGAGTTATTAATTAATGAAATTCATTAAAAGTTTAATCATTCGTCATGGTCACGATTTTTTACGACTACGAATTTAATAATTGCAGCTATTACATAATTAAGCTTGAATGGTATCAAATCAATTTAAAATAACTATAAGAGCTTTCCATATTTGCGACGTCTGAGGACGTGTTCGAAGTTTACTCACAGAAAAAACTATGAGAACTTTCCATATTAACGACGTGTGAGGCCATGTTCGAAGTTTAGTCACAGAAAAAATATTATCAAGGGTTTCAATTTCCTGACTTACCCAGCTAGTTGTAAGGATCTAATTTTATTTTAAAATCAGAAATCATATTTCATATCCAGTTCTTTTATCTATTGTAATTGTTCCGTAAATAACTGCTTTGAATTGAATGTTTTGTAGGATATTCTCTATTATTTTACAATCGGTCAAGATATTTTCTGGTATGTTTTCATTGTTCCGTAAAAGACGTTGCTAGTTTTAAATAAGAGTCTAATTAAAGAAACAAAACTCTAAAAAAGCCAGGCTGTTAATAAGTTTTGGGTTTAACCTCCCCAAACCCTATAATATAGTACTACCAATCAAACACGATCATTAATAAATTCACCGATTATAGTAAAAAAAAAAAAAAGAACCTGCATAATACTTGGCTTATTGTCTCCCACCACACACACGTGCATGTGCACGTGCAATTTCTTACCTTCGTTTCTCTAATTGAAAATCTCTGCACCATCTCCTAAATTGCACCTTCAAAGCCAAATCTCTTTGTCTCTCCCTCTCTCTCTCTGTTTTCTCTCCCGTCGTCGTCTCACCGGAAAAACAAAATAAGAAGAGGAAGCCGACGGGAGAGACGAAGGAATATTAAAATATAATAATAATGGGGAAAGGAGGACGTGAGAGGATATCAAAGAAAGAAGAAGAAGGAGAAGAAGGAGTCATGGCTACAGATTTCTTCTGGTCTTACACCGATGAACCTCACGCTTCGAGAAGACGTCAGATTCTCTCTCGTTACCCTCAGATTAGAGAACTATTTGGTCCTGATCCATGGGCGTTCCTCAAGGTCTTTTTTCTATATATATCTCTCTCTTGTTTCATTGTTGGATCTTTGATTCTTCTCGTCTGTTTTTTGATAAATGGGTTCAAGACACAAAACACATGAACCGAAGTAGATAGTTTTGTCAATGTGAGATCACAGAAGAAAACAAAGGAACCGGAGTTGACGTTTTGACAAATCTGATTCGTTTCGATCTCATTTGTGTTCTTCCTTGCTCCCACCCACACTAATTAGGGTTTTTAATAGGGATGACATAAAACCGGTTCGGTTTAATTTTCTTTTTAATTGGGTTTGGTTTGGGCTTACATTTAAATAAACACATTAGATTTTCAAAGAAATTTCAGTTTATTTGGCTTTGTTGCTTAAAATTCGGATTTGGTTTGGGTGTGGTTCGGTTTACTTTTGTCTATTGATTTGAATCTGGTTGTGATTTATACAGTTTTTTTTACTTATTTATTCACTCTTCCTTTTTAGTTTTGTGACCTTATATAAACCCAAATGAATCTTGAAAATTTTGTGTGTTTGTCTACAGATAACATTAGTCGTTACACTTCAACTCTCAGCAGCTGCAATCCTACACGACTCAGGATGGCTCAAGATTCTAACCATTGCTTACTTCTTTGGATCATTCCTCAACCACAATCTCTTCTTAGCAATCCACGAGCTAAGTCACAACCTCGCTTTCTCAACTCCGGTTTACAATCGCTGGCTCGGTATTTTCGCAAACCTCCCAATCGGCGTACCGATGTCGGTAACATTCCAAAAATACCATCTCGAGCATCACCGGTTCCAAGGAGTAGACGGTATAGACATGGACGTACCAACTTACACGGAAGCTCATTTAGTAACCAATATATTCGCCAAAACCATTTGGGTCTTGCTACAACTCTTCTTCTACGCTCTTAGACCGTTGTTCATCAAACCGAAACCACCCGGTTATTGGGAATTCGTCAACTTCTTTATTCAGATCGGTTTAGATGTATCAATGGTTCTCTTCTTCGGATGGAGATCTTTGGCTTATCTAATCTTATCGACCTTTGTTGGAGGAGGAATGCATCCAATGGCTGGACATTTTATCTCGGAGCATTATGTGTTTAACCCGAACCAAGAGACTTACTCGTATTACGGTCCATTGAATCTACTTACGTGGAGCGTTGGTTACCATAACGAGCACCACGATTTTCCGAGGATACCGGGACATAAGCTGCATAAGGTGAAGGAGATTGCAGGAGAGTATTATGAAGGATTAGAGTCGTATAAGTCATGGTCACAAGTGATTTATATGTATATTATGGATACAACAGTTGGACCTTTTAGCAGAATGAAGAGGAAGCTCTCTACACATAAGTCTGATTAGTTTACTTCTTCAATACGCAAAGCTCTCTCTGTTTGTGTTCTCTTCTGATATTTTTTTTTTGGTTTACATTGCCTATTTTTCATTCGTTGATTTTTGTAATTTATTGGAGGAATTCTTGTGATCTAATAAGAATGTCTTAGGTGGTCTCCATCTTAATTATTATTAAAAAAATAAACACACACGTATGTATAAGGAAAAGACTTTAAATCTTGTGATCTTAGATTAGCTTAGGTCTATATCACTACTATTCGCATGATAAACATAAAAAATATACAAAATAAGCTTTTAAAATTTATCAATTAAGAGGTTTTTCTTTAGTTAAAGTCGATTAATCAATTAGAGTTAAGCAGCTCGTCCAACCCCGGTTGTGATTTTGTTAAACATCAGATCGGATCGTGTCTGACAGTAATTAGCCAACCAAATAATCTTTCTCATGTTTTAGAGTATGGTTTTCAAATTATCACCATTATTTATCATATTACAGTATACCATTTTTTTTTTAACTTGAACTCATGACATTAGCATATTTTAGTCGTTTAGGATTTTGGAACACCACCTACATCTTTAATTCGATTCTAAAATGAATAAACGGTTATACTTAATATAGTTTACAAAATTACAAGAGAAAAAAATTATGTATTCTCCATATGACCCTTATTTGATGATTATGTGTCAATGGGGTAAGATCCATATATTCATTTTGTTGAAAGTTTCTGTTTATTCACCAAATTTCGATTCTATTTAACTCTAAGAGATGTTTTCTTTATTTATGCTCAAAATTTTAGATTTTACTACTTAACCACTCTTTTGCTTTTCTACAATCACCAAACAATTATCCGAAAAACAACTATCATCCTTTAGGACAAAGACCACCAGAGATGTTAACAGAAACACAATTATCATCTTTTGAGGACAAGGATGTTGTTGACAAGGGAGTATTGTGACAGGAATATCACCGATTATCCGGTTTATATCTTTATCTTTTATAATTTTGAGTTATTCCATTTACAAATCAAACTTGAGAAATCAGAAAAGAAGAACAAAGAGAACTTGATAATTGCACACCTTGATGGTATCTCCAACATAGAATGGTCGTGAGAGTTGCAAAAAGAAACTGCTGATGATATTATTGAGAATATCCTTACCAGCAAAAGCAGTGATTACTCCTGAAATCAAAAAAAGAAATCAGTTCACAAATTGGAAAAATGTTTGTTAGCAACCAAAAAATAAAAAGAACAGTTACAATACCTCCAAATCTACTAAGTGCAAAGATAGATCGAATTTATGTTCCAACTACCTGTGAAAAACCTGCTAAACCAATAGCAAAAATGCTAAAAGTTATCACATTGTCCAATGTCAAGTGAAGCTTCTTCTCGATCATAGTGAAGCAGTGAGTTGAGGAAAATCGGCTGAACAGAAATGTCTTTAGCCGAAGGAGGAACCGAACAACTATCAAGGGAGACGACTTGAAGGGAGACGAGTTGAGACTTTTCGATCTTGGCATAACAATTGTAACCCTGAAAGAAATCATAATCATCATTAGTAATTTTTATTTATTTATATATATTGATTAAATAGTAGATTAAAGATATAGATTCACACAAAGAAGACGGCTGGAAGATCAGGAAGTATCAAACTAGATGCTCAATAGTAGCAAAGATGCCGTCTTCATACAGAAGATCATTCCTGGAGATAGGGTGGGGAAACCAAACAAGTCCACGCTCCATTCCAAAGACATGGAGCCATCTTAACATCCTTGAGAAAGCCTCCCATGAAGCATAGGAGGCTACAATGATGGCTCCAAGAGCTTGGAAAACTGGAATGGAGCTACCTAAAATCCTTCCAAAATTGGAGACACTAGCCCTAGTTGGAATGCTCGCCAAACTAGCTGAAATACTGGTACTAGAACTAGTAGAAATGCTCCTCAAGCTTGCTGAAATGTTGGAGAAATTGGAGAAACTATAGCTCGCCTAGCTTGCTGAAAGTCTACTGGATCCGGAGAAAGAAACTTCGGTTGCTTTCAACTATTTTCTCAGGTATGGACTTTGATTCATGCATCAAAATTTTGATTCCTCAATGATATAACTTGTGATACATGGCTGATCGGACGTTTAATATGAATGAACATTGTGATTTCTCATCCTACATTTAATATTATGTATGGTGTCTTTTCTCATTTCTCTTGTCCAAATGTCATAATAGAGTAAACTTTGCACAAAAAGGAACCAATGCCAATATTTTTTTTATGTAGTGGAAATCCATAAATTACTTTGCTATAGAGATCTGATGTCCGATTGTGAGAGCGAAAGTGTGGGGACTTTTATAAAGAATGAAGAAGCTATAGATGTTGATGAATGGACTATTTTCAGAGAAGAACGATATCTCAAGACCTCTTCATAGTAACAAACCAAATAAACCCATCAATCTCTCGGACCAAATGTCCTTGTGATCCGATTTTTGAAACATCATGAACTCAAGCTTGCTGAAAAGCTCTCCAAATTGGAGCTAACATCGTGAACTCTAGCTAACTAAAAAATCTCTTCAAATTGGAGATTCATTGTGAATTTAAGCTTTACTGAAAATCTCTCTGGTTGGAGAAACACCATTTTGTTGCTTTCAAGTGTTTCTTTAGATATGAATATAACAAAGCCGACAAAAAAATTTACTAACAGAAGTGTGAAATGTGAAGCTTTGATTTGAGAACTTACCATAAATAGACCCGTTCTGATCAAAAATTTAAAATGGGCTGTTGCCAAAAGTGTCCACATTTGGTGATAAAAGACAATTGTTATTGCAACATCAACGTGCACTCTCTCTCAATCACTTTTGCGAGTATAACATCCCAAATTCTACTGCAAAGTTTCCACAGGCACTTATTGCACAAGCGATAATCAATTTTTCTTTTTAGAGTTCAGTAAGTATAAAGACATGTATTGCATAAACTTTCCAATAAGTGAACATGTCCAATTGGAGCTAGATGTTCTTTGATTCCTTTGAACGCCCATATAAAAATATTCCCCTCTACATCAAAACTTAAGACGTGTTCTCCAAGCAACAGAAGCAAGTCAACTTTAGCATCACGCTTGCTCCAAGTTGTAACCTGAGACAGATCGCAACTTGCATGTCACCTTTAGCATCATGCTTGCTCCTCAGCTTCTATCTGAGAAGAGAAGCCATAACCATAAAAAAAAAAAAAAAAAAAAAAAAACTAATTACAAGACGAACGAAATAAAAAGGATTTCAGAGAAAAACGCCAGCGACGAATCCTAAAAAGTTATCAAGCTCCGACTTCGAAGCGATATCCTTCACCGGACCACCCATATCTTGGAAGAGAAAAGAGATCTACGATTTAGATTACACAGTCACTTCTCGAACACTTTATTTTTTGTGATACGTGATGCTAAATTAATGAGCCTCTAAATTACGTAAATTACGTATTCTCGAACACTTTATTTTTGCAATCTTCTTGAGATCTCAATTCACTGACAAATTCATAAACATCAAAATGTCATTGTCATTGTCTTTTGAGTTTTAAATTCCGGTTAAGGATCAAATTAATGTGAAGCGGTTCTTTACATTATACATAACCATACCCATTACTACAACAAAACAAAATATGTCGAGTCACTCGCATATAACAACAAGCCAAGATATACTTATGCCTCCCCAAAACTAGTTGAGTAAACCAAGACAAACATAGAGAGAAGAATACATAAAAACAGACAATAAAAATCAAATAATCCTTCAACAAGACAGAACAAGTAGTAAACTGAGGTTCCCAAAACCGGCCAACTAAAGAATCTGGCACCTATGATGGGAACCAGACGTGTCCACCCTAAACAGTCAGCAAGGAACCACATGCAAGTAAACGCCAACACCTTCAGACGAAACACACTTCTCTCTCCATCCAAGTTATTATTCAATGGGAAGAAGAACTCGACAGAATCCAGATGCACACTCGTAAAGACGTTAATCTCAAAGAAAAGAGGCAGATCTTGGTACTTCAGAATCACCCAAGAGAACGCCAAGAAGCTAAAGCACAAGCCCCTGATTTTCATTCTGTTTAAAGGTTCGTTTTCATCTTTAGCTTCCCTCACAGTAGTCTCCGGTCACGAGCCATGGAGAACCGCTCAGGACGCATTCTGTTTGCTGGTTCTGTGATGGAGTCTTCATCTTTAGAAGCTCTCACAACAGTCACTGCAGGCTTGAACGAGGATGTTGCTGTAAAGTGAACATACATTTTTGAAATTAACAATTTTTTCAGAGTTGAATAAACTCAGGAATAACAAAAACTTAAGTGGTACCTAGAAGAAGATCAATCTTCCTTTGCCGAGTGGAAGAGTTCACCGTGAATCTTGATTTTGGGAATCGAACAAAGTTGCTTGTTGGTTTCAATGAACTCTGATTCCTGCGACCACCAAAGTACAAACACAGATCAGTAATCTATTTTAAATTTCCATAAACACCTCAATAATTGGAAAAAAACTCAAAACTTAGGGCAATACGAATATGGTTGTTGTCGCCATAATCTCCTCGCCGTCGAGAGATTTCGTTGCATTAGGGTTTCCCCTATTTACAGGTTTTAGGGCCAACATTAATTTATCGGGCTTTCTTATTCAGTTTAGGCTTTCTTCACAATCCCAACTGTGTCGTTTACATCATCTTTAGAGTTAGTAAATCTTCTTTATGTCATTTACATCATCTTTCGAGTTAGTGAATCTTAAGATCGACATTGCATGCTTTTGCATACTTGAAATTTTTCGCAGATGTTTTTTGGAGCTACAGAAGTTATATGCAAATCAGTGGTTGAGCCAAAACATTGTGCAAAAAGAACCAAAGAAGGCACAAAGAGAGAAGCACACGATCTTCAAAATCATATCGGACACAAGACGTATCAAGCTCGTCTGGTCGATATTTCCTTGGAGGAAAAATATCAACCATGCATATAGATTTTTCTTCTAGAAAAATATCGCTACCCATATTGAATAGCAATGTCCGAT